ATGCCAGGAGCGCAAAGTCTGGTTTCAGTCATATCCTTTCCACATTCACCTCTGGCGGCTCTGAAACCAGGATGAATACCAGCAAAGACTTCGGAAACACCAAAGTCGGTGATCTTGAGCTTGCTATCCTTGGTTATCAATAAATTCTCAGGCTTGATATCTCGATGAGCGATTCCGTTACTATGAAGAAATTGAATGCCTTGAATCAGTTGCTTGAATAAACATTGACGATCCTTTAGATGGTCCTCCTTGTTGAGGTACTTTTGATTAATGAGACTGAATAGATCTCCTTGTTCGCAGTACTCCATCACATGGTTCCACCGACCGTTGTGTGTACAAAGTCGAAAGGTCTGTACAATGTTTGGGTGACGGGCGGCTTTTGCGATCGAGTATTCCGATTTGACTTTCTTTTCGTAGTCTTCTTCCTTTTCCGTCGTAGACTTACCACGGAATTCTTTCACAGCAAATATATTGTTTGTGCCATTCTTGACGACAAGTTTCACATGGGCTGTGGCACCTTTACCAACCTGTTTTCCACGACGTCCTATGAATGTAGTTTGCTGATGGTATTCTTCATCCAATTCTACGACATCAACAAGGAGGTCATCTGGTAGACTCATACTCATACGTCTTGACTTCAAACCAATTCCAGTCTCGGCTGGCATGGCCCAAGGCTCGCGCAACATCTGCTGCACTCCTTCCGTGACAAAGCCATTATTCAAATCCCAATCAACGCTTGTGGCACGTTGAGGAGCTTTGGATTTATCTTCTATTGCCGATGTATCAAAAACAATCTTGGGTCCATGATTCTGAAATACATTCATCAGGCTCATGCTTAGACCCGTCGAAGATCTTTGTTTCTTAGTCATATTGACGTTCTCGCTTGGTCTTATATCTGAGAACAAGTTTTCTTGCGATGATTGCGTTTCTGAGGGAGCGCTGGGTGAAGGTGGTGTATTCGTACGGGAGGTAAATGCTGTAGTAGAAGTTGATGCTCGTCCGATCGACAATCGGCGATGCTCTTTGCCTAACATTGGATCGGAACCATTATTGTTTTTAAGAGTAGTCGGATTTGTAAGATTGGTCTGGTCATTCAAGACGGTTGTACTTAAAGTTCCAATTTGAGAATTTGACCTCTTGAAGAACTTCGAAACTTTACCTCTCAAACCCGAGTCTTTTGTAGTAAGAGTTGGTCTTTTCGAAAGCGGAGTTGGAGCAGAAGATGGGTCTGTGTTTCCTCTAATGGGTTGTAGGGAGGAGAATGGTGTCTGCGCATTCGATCGAGGTAGAGGAGTCGCAATAGTACTGACTATTGTAGGAAGTTGAATTGAAGACGGCGGAAGCTTACGAATGAGATCATGAGTAATCTCACTTCCAGTGAGTGCTTTAGGATTTTGGTGAGGATTTTGGAACTCTGTAGGAGTTACTGGCTCATTAACAGCTTCACTGCTGGTCTCGTACTCGTATTCTTCGGGAATGGAATCGACTTGACGAGAATCTATCGAGGAAGGTCGACTCGATTCTGCAGAAGGAGAACTGGATTCAATATGAGGAGGATGATGTAATTGATTCGAGATATTAGGAAAAGCGGAAGACAACGTAGGGTGAGTAAGTGGTAAAGTAGTGGTCGCCATGATTGCTAATCTGGTGAGCTGACACTGTACTTTGAGACAAATCAACGAAAGAGTCAGGAAAGTACGAATGACGAGTAAAAGTTTGATGTTTCTGAATTCTGAAATTTGAGAGTTTGTGCCAGTAATCCAGTTACTAATATAAAAAATAGCGATTTAACTCGTGAGCTAGTTGAATCGAGTAGCGTGTTAAGAGGAGTAGTATAAAGTTTTTCTTGGGAGGGCTAGGTCTGGTTTCGGTCTGGTCAAGTGGGAGAAGCAGTATCTGTGAGACCGTTTGACTGTCTTGTAATCGTTCACTAGTAGTTCTGTAGATCTAGAACTTCTAATCTGCTTCAATTGTATTGTGGTATCTTCGTGAAGGGTATCTTCTCGGAAGTGTGAACAATGCGATAGGATTGACTGATTCCACTTTCTCTCCGGGAGGGATTAAATATAAATTAAAGGAAAAGAAACATGGTAAGAAGGATCGGAATGATCTCGTTGATGAGAGACAAAAGTAGCAATGATGTAGTTTTAGTCTGATTGAGAAATCAAATCCAAGGACTGGATGAATTCTTAGGAAGAGGCCGTTGGTTGACCGCGGTCAAAGGAGGGGAGAGAAATGGATCCAATAGGTTCTTGTTAATTGCGAAGACGAGGCTTGATGCATAGAAGGCTCGGTAGAAGCAATAAACCTGCAAACTTGTTGTTGAGAATTAAAAGAAGGGTGTGTGTATATCTTACGTTTGGGCGAATAGAGAGGCTTCAAGAAGATCTTGGTTGATGCGGAGCATGAGGAGGTGAATGGCGAGATATGGAACCGTGATACCTTGATTGAAAGGCAAAGGCAGAGAGAGGTCAAGGTAGGCAGGGATGGCTTTGCATGTGCAGGCGTACGTATAAAATAGGAATAAGTAATACCTAGTACTGTGAAAATATGCGGGCTGATCGCAAATACCGTAATAATGATAATGCTTGCTGTCTTGGGGTCATACAAGAAGAATGTTGTTTTGCGAACAAAATCCCGAGTAGCTTTTGCTTGCGTGTCTACCGTGCTAGATAACGACGATGATGGCTTTTGGCTGGCTTTTTGGCGTTGGGCTTATGATTCTTCCCTTTTCAACATCCATTTTGATAGATTTCTATGACATGCTGGTAACATTGAATGGCGTATCAATATTTATATTTCTCATTTGCTTTTGATATGATGTACCTGTCGGTATAACAAAGATATTTACCTATCTATCTACCGACCGACCGACCGGTCTTTACGTATTGACTCTACCGGATATCAATCGACGGAAAGACGTGATTCTATTGTCGAAATGACTTATTTTTATTTTTATTTTTCTTATCAATTATATCTCCGAAGTCAGAACAAAGGGATCTGCCATGGAAGTGAATCTAATTGGTCAATAATAGAGCGATAATATTCAATTACTCTTCAATGAGAAGAGACAAGAAAACGGCAACTCCATGCCGAGAGATTGGCCCATGAACTTTGTCGAGGAATGATGCGAAAGGGTTTTCTTCTAATTTCTCTACCAATTTTCTGATGGTATGAAGTGGGGAATTGAATGCTACATACTGCATGCAGATAATGCCAAATAGTACAATTTGATTGAGCTGAAAGATGTCTGGATTTGATATTGATATTGATATTGTGATTGTGATTGTGATTGTTATCGATGGATCGAGACCATTTTAGAAAACCTCTTCGCTTATTTCCTTTCCTTTCGTTCCTTTCCTTCCTTTCCTCCCATTCCGCCTTGATTCCGCCCTTCAATGTGTAGGTACTCATACTTTAATACCTACCTAGTAGTTACATTACATGCATACTACCAATACCTTATCTCATCCTTTCAAATCCACCTGGGCACATACATTCAAATAGGAAGTTATTCCAATCAATGCATCTACATCCCACGCGATGAATCCTACGAATCTTTCAGCTTCTAAATATTACAACACGGTCACTTACCTCACCGACCTTCCTTCCGAGTACAGTTATCTTTCTTTGAAGGCTGGTTACATTTGGAAGAATATTACCTTGATGCTACATTGTATGAGCCAAGCCAAAGTACAACACTTAATAGTACAGCACACGAATGGTACTTCTCGTTTTCGAAGCTTATGGTACAATTGACTTTCACTCTTTGCTGGATGTTGAGTTGTTGAATCGCCAAGGCAGGCAATCTTCGATAATAGATCTCGAATCTGTCTCTTAATATGAAAGCCAAGAGAAAAGTAACCGTCGGTATTGCATTGCACGGAACGAACAGCGGATTGAGGGACGCCTTGTATACCTTTGCCAAGGCTTTATTGTCATCAAACGGATATCAGAAATGGAGCAGACGATATTATCACGAAAAGAGCCTGTCTCTGCAGATAGAATTGTCCAAGTGATGATACATTAGTTGTTATCTGAACTTTGAACAAACACTCAATCCATCTTCCTGGCAGCTGGTTTCGAATGTTACTTACACACGGTTCCAAGCACATCTAGACCTCCCGACCTAAACAGTCCAGCCACACGGAAGAATTATCTACATTAGATATTATGCCGAGAAGATCTTGTGCGTATGAAGTAGAGGAAATGAGGAACGCTAGAAAGGTTGGGGTCGCCAAATTGTTCTATCTTCTATGAGGAACAAGGGATCATTTCATGCATGATGTGCATGCAATAGATTTCTAGCCTTTTGATGTCCGTCGCCATGTCTGAGGTCCGAGTCACCCGAAGAAGAATATATGCTGTTGATCATTTTCATCTCTCGGTTCTTGAAGGAGTCACAGGTGCTTCACAATGTCGTGAAATTACAGTAACTCAACGAGTTACTACCGAGATTACTTGTCAGCCAGCGCCTGTACTCTAGGAGAAATGGAAAAGTTGTGTCCAGACAGACAAGGGACAATATCAGGTCCATTGAAGAGCCTCTCATAAGGCAGACGGAGCAGGCAAAAACTTGGTCACTATATGTTTCTAGATCTCCATGATTCATATATATTGACGCCTGCATCGATATCCTTGAAAGATCCGGCTTCTCATCTCAACAAGTCGCTACTTGACTTTTTTAAAGTTATATTCGGCCAAGAGACCTTGCGCATGGGGCGGCTATAACTATTGTGATACCGAAATCACTCTTCTTTTCAACAATCCTAATCCTCCTGCTTTGTTCTTACAACAGGTAACGGGTACAACTGATCCACAACATTAGTGGCTCGAAAATCGCTCAAATGTAAGCCTCATTCGTTGTCACAACACGGGACCATCAAGGTTAAAATTAAGCAGAAGTCGGTCGCTCCTATGTAGAGTACATTTTGGTACTTTATGGAAAGCGACAGTTACTTGCAGTTATGTATTTGACTTCGAATCACATTTTGGCGATGATGGCAAAATCCCAAGACCTGCAAGTAGGTCAAGTGAGGTATCACAAAAATGCTTCTATGCCAAGTGATCATCATCTTGCCCCTTGCCCCTTACACGTTCCCTTTAATCAATATCTAGTTTTGCTAATCTAATGAATCTTGGAAGATATGAGATTTTTAGATCTCACGATACTTGCACAAACGTTCATCCTTTAGTCTCAAGGACCCTTCCCCACAAATGTGATGGGGCGACAGTTCGACTTTAGACCTCAATTGGGATTAGTTGATTGTCAAACATCCTTGAGTACCGCCGATAACCCACTGAAGTATGCACGTACCATGGCGGGGTATCGACGACACCCCACCAGCTGTACTGCAGTGTTGCCAACTGCCAACTGGTAGTGAGTGAAAGGGGACATCAAATGGAAACATGGAGCTTTGAATTCAAGACCGTTGGGTTACACACACCAAATATGAGACGGAGCTGGATCTTAGAGGAGAACCTTGAAGCCTTCGCCAGATGTCATCCAATAGATTGATTACCGCACAACTCGACACTTTGAACACCACGCGCCTTTTCTTATGACTTGTCAGCTTTCATTCCGGAGCAATCATTGAAGCTCGTGGGCATCTATATTACCTAGGCAATCTTCAAGGCGATTGAACAACGTCTTTAATTCATTACAATTTGAATTTACGTCCAGTCATGATCTTCAATCTTCAATGCCTAGGCTTAGCATTGTGATCAAGTACTGACGCCGATGGCTTGTCATGTACAACCACCATTCGAATTTCATTTTATCATTCAACCGACGTCTTTTTCCGAACCTTGGGAATTATTCCATTTCTGGAGCGATGACAGCCACATTCATCGCTCAATATCAATTTAATACTCATTGAATTCTACCCGTCATATATTTTATTCTTGGCTTTCCTACCAATTTCTTATTCTTCCAAACAAGCTTTCTTCCCTAGGAGAATCTAGACACTCTAAATACTGTACCTGCACGATTTTGCATGTATCTGAATGTGGTCATATCGTGCATGAAAAGTCAACGGGGAGTATTGCGATCTTATTGTACTCGACCTGTAGTTCTCAGCATGACTCAAGACAATCAAAATACGAGCATCTGCACAATTGCGCACTTATATTAAAATTATCTAGGTCTCAAGCTATTAACTCTCAGCTCGTCAACGTACAGTAAGTAGCTCTTACATTATCCAATGTCCTTGCGACACTTCATCCATACTCGGTTTGAAAGCCTCAAAAAAATTATCAAGAAGCGGTCAACCGGAGTAAATTGGCCCAGAACCTCCATCTACGCCGCAAATTTTAATAGCAACTCTTGTATCCAATAAGGAAAACGTTAACGCGCGTCCAAATCCTTCTGTGAGGCATTTAAGCCGACCGCATTTTCCAGTACAGTCAATGTTGCTAGCCATACCTTCCCGTATTATCTAATCCATCTCCATTGGTAATTTCAGTTAACATACCTTAGGCTGATGGTGAAGCCCTTAAGCCTATCCGGAATCCACCTTCCCGGATTGCGAGAGAGAGGTGCATAAAGTTTATGCAGCTTTATGCGCATAAGTCGCGTGCCAAAACATATTTGGGAGACTTGGTATGACCGAACTAATAATCATCTGATCTTGTGGTCAAGAATATACGTCGGGAAAGTCTTGGTAGCAGACTTTTCATGTGGTGAAAATTTTTCGCGATTCTTTGGCAGAGGAGAATTATTGGTAGAGCAATTGAAAACTGAGGCTCTTACCTTTGCGCTTCCGTATTTTACCTATTTTGGGGGATCTGTCGGTATGGAAAGTTCCTTTCTGCTAGATTATCTGCATTGAGCCGAGATCGGGCTGTTGCAGGATACTCGTGGGCATTGTTAACGGACCTCGGGTCGCTGCTCCTATGCTTATAGCTTCATATATGATTGCTTGACGTATATGTACCTGCTTTTGTCGTTTCTATCTATATGCGTTGTTCTTTGCAGCATGCTATCAGGTTTGTGAAGCATGAATAAGGCTGGGCTTGAACTGCAAGATTCATCTCAGGTCGACGCGTGGGGGTGAGAGCGGGTGTTGAATCATTGAGATGCTCTATTGCTTGCGGGTTCTCACATCCATCAAAGTGTGTTGATCTATTATCATTTCGGTATATACGTACAGCATCTTCCATCTGCTTTTTCTATGTCCCTATATGCGTATACGCATCCCAACATTCAACAACATCCCTCATCTGATTGAAATAGTCGGTGAGTCTCCTCCTTCGAAGAGGTCTTGAAACGGGGAGGTTTCTCGATCACACGATCACTCACATCAATATTTAGCATGCGCGTTCACATCAGTTGTTCTAGTTCTTATCTAAAGTTTGGTTTACCAACCTTGATATCTTCACTGGCAAGAAAGTCAATATTCTTGTTAGTTTCGACAATTTTTCATCTTGTTGCATGTCTGAATATTCAATTACACTTATAACTCATTAATTTCACTCTTTACGTTTGATTCACCTCACAAAATACCAAATCATCTTCTAAGATTTTGAATATTCATATTAGTGAAGAGGGTTTGAAAGCTTAACAGTGCTACGTCATGTCTATTAAGTTCTCCTCAAGGCTTTAGGAAAGACTTCGTTGACTTTGATTCCGTTCTTCAAAAAAAAAAAATGTGTATTAAAACTCTTGATTTCTATTGGGAGTATGTGCTAAGCACTGTGATAACAACTAATATAGTACTCTAGTAATGTAATACACTTGATTCGTCTTCAATACCCATGAGAGAATGAAAGTAACTCATTACACTCTGATTCATATAGCATCTACCAGCATGGCTTTTTACATATAATTATAGCAAATCGTTCTGATTATATTTAGTATCGAAACGGAATGAGTTGAGTGTCTACTCTATTCCATCTAGTATACTGTTATGAAGAATGGCTATGTCTCCTAAAATTTTTAAATTGTACCGCATCTTATCTCATCTCATTCCATTCATTTGTCTCCTTGCGTTACTATACCATGGATATTAAAATAAAAAAGTTCTATTGATCTTTGACATTCTTCATTCCTTTGCCCGAACTATTTGGAAGACTTCACGTCTGTTGGTTTGGACTAAGTCGGGTTCGCTAAGTAAGGATAATGAAATAGATTTTGCATGTCGATAAATCCTTCCCTTTTCTATCCTCTATTTCTGCTTCTCGAAATCCTATTAAATATTCCTTTCTTTTCCCTTCACCTTAGTTCTCTCCCCCCCCCCCTCTCTCTCTCTTTCCCTACCTAGTGGAGATCTTCCATTCAGATCCTTTTTTTCTTCAGATCTTAATCCATCAAAGCCTATCCATTCAATACTCGAAAAAAAAAAGCCCCAGATACATCCGAAAGCCATCAATCATGAAACAAACTAAACCCTCCCCCTCTCTCCTGTCCCCACAAAACTAAACTCCCACCAAAAAAATTATTCCTGTCCTCGGAGAGACTCGAACTCTCGACCTTTGGATGGCACAGTAATTGTTATCAACTACCTCATATAGAAATATGAGACCAACGCTCTAACCAACTGAGCCACGAAGACTTATTATGATTCATGCGGCGGGGCGTGTTATGTGGAAGTATATTATACAGATTTGGGAACATGAAAAAATGGAGTAAATATTTATGGTTTATTTTTTCTAATTTTTTTGCCGCATTGGTGGGTTTCGTTGGTGGAGAGGTGGAGTGCTTCGCTTCGGAGAATTTTGATGTGAGCACTGGGATTGTGGTGTGTGGGTTGGATAAGGGAAGGGTATGTACTGAGGGCTCCGTTCGCTCCCCTTTTGACCCACTTGGATCCGGTTAGGGTTAGGGACCTCGAGGGAGATGTAGAGTTGAGTGTGATGTTTGTTTGTATTTGTATTTGTATTTGTATTTGGTTGGGAAGAGATATATATATATGTAGGTGTGTATATATATGTGTGTGTACTTATATATACTTGTATGTAAGACTTGTATGTACTTGTATGTACTTGTGTGTAAGATTTGTATATAAGACTTATATGTATTTCAGATACTTGATATTTATACTTTGTATAAGATGAAGATGAAGATGAAGATGAAGATGAAGATGAAGATGAAGATGAAGATGAAGATGAAGATGAAGATGAAGATGAAGATGAAGATGAAGATGAAGATGAAAATGAAGATGAAAATATTATTATCTATATGTATCTATTTAATAGTAATTATATTAATCATTATTAGATATTCTACTAATGGATAGATTATGAAATAGATTCTTTTGTATAGGAAATAGGGGGAATGCTAGGGAGTGAAGATTTGGAATTGGAGTTGGAATTGGAATTGGAATTGGAATTGAAATTGGAATTGGATTTGGAATTGGAATTGGAATTGGAATTGGAATTGGAATTGGAATCGGAATTGGGATTGGATTTTTTTATCGATATTTTAAAAGGGAAATAAAAAAGAGGAAAGATTGACTGATTCTAGATTAATCGATTGAGGGTGAAAAGAAGCGGATTCTTTATTTAAGTTAATGATACGATTTATTACTCTTGGGGTTGAAGGTTGAGAGTTGAGAGTTGAGAGTTGAGAGGGAGAGAGGGAGAGAGGGAGAGAGATTTAGATTCAGATAGATATTAAGGTATAATTATAGTATATAATATAAGAAAAATAAGAACGATAATAAGAACAATAATAAGAATATAAAATATCTCTCGAGATCATACTATATTACTATTTCAAAAAGAATAAAAGGAAAAAGGGAATAGTTATAGTTATATAATAATCATAAGCATAAATACATTATATTATATCAAACTCAGAATCTCATATATATATATATATATATATATAAATTTTGTTCTATAGTATTTCACTCTGATTCTAATTCATCTTGATTTATCTGTTCCTCTTGATCTTTGTTTATTTATAGGTATTATTATAGGTATTATTCTTAGATTATTTATATATTATTAATAAATCATAATCATTATCTCTATTATTATTTTTATTATTATTATTATTTTATTTTTTTTATTATTATTTTTATTATTATTTTTATTATATTTTTATTATTATCTTTATTATTATTTTTATTATTATTTTTATTGTTATTTTTTATTATATATAGATATATATATATATATAAATATACATACAAATACATATATCTATATCATATCTATTCATATTCATATCTAATTACATCCTAATCCTAAATCCGAATCCGAATCATATATATATACATATATATATATATCACCAAAACAAATCTATATCTTATTATTATTATTCTTCCTTCCTCTTTTCCTTCACTTCTTCATTTACTCCTCTCTCCATCCCTCACTACAACAATATATTCTCCTCCCTTCTTCCCCCCTTCCCTTCTTCCCCCCTTCTCCCCTTCTCCCCTTCTCCCCTTCTCCCCTTCTCCTCTTTTCCCCTTCATCCCCTTCCCCCACATACCCCCCTAAAAAATACACACCAGTAATACCAAACCCCGTCATAATTCATTAGATATTAAATCCCTCTCCCTCTCTCTCTCTTTCTCTCCCAATACAACTCTCAATCTCCATCCCAATCTCCATCCCCATCCCCACAAACCCAAACCCAAACCCAAACCCAAGCCGTCGAAAAAATAATAAATAGATAGATAAACAAACGAATAACAAACAACAATTCCGGAAAGGAAATTCCTCAATAAGTATTAAGTATTAAGTATACACTCAATATACACTGATTGGAAAGAAAGAGAGATAGAAAGGAAGAAAAGAAGAGAAGAGAAGTGAAAAAAGAAGAAGGGAAGAACAGATGCAATAAGATGCAATAACAACAAAAACAAAATATCAGAATACATCAATTCGTGCAAAAGAAGCCTGAATGAAGGAGAACAAGAGCATTATTCAAAACGCCTCGAAGATCCGAAAAGATTATTACATCAAGGCCTGGAGGTAAGTTTGCCATACACCCAGACTCTCTCGAGCTCTCAGCAAGCGAGTAAAACCATGATACTGTATGACCGCGCGAGCGATACATATCGCTATTAAATACGAACGATCCGCCGAATGAATCTCGTCTCGAATCTCGATGCCGAGATGAAAAAGTAAAAGAATGTCATCTCACTCAATCATACTCAATTCGAAATGTTCCGAAACCGTCGTCTTGCAAACCCGACAGGCCTGTTTCCCAGTTCGCAAGAATGGTAAACGTGAGATCTTTCACGACTTTCTCTTCAAGCAACAATCCTTCTATTTCGGTGCTGCCCCTCTCAAACTCTGTCCCAAATGACTTGCGGCAATGCTACTCGCCGCCCTCTCACTTCTTCTTCTATTCGCACCACTAATCCGTTCACTCCCACTTCCAATCCCGTTAATACTCTCAGCTTGTTTTCCATTTTCTCTCAAACCCCTCGGACTCTCCTTCTTCCCCCTGGGCTTCCACCCCTCATTCCCCTTACTCTTCCCGCTACTAGCAGAATGTCTCTTCTCCCTGCTCCTCTCACTCACACTCCTCACCTCACTCGCTATACTGCTGAGACTCGAGATCCACGACGCGGTATCCCTCTCCTTACTACCCAAACAACTCCCACCGCCTCGTTCCCTATCCACTCTCCCAATCCTCAATTTGCGCAAGATCCTCCGAATCGCTCCAATCGGCTCACACAGGTAGAAAATTCCCATGTCATCAAACAATGATATCCATTCCACATTACATAATTCTAGGAGTGGTTTGCATAGCATCAAAATCCCCAGGTCATCTAGGAAATTGAGGAATTCGAGTGCAATGGGAGGCGCTTCAGTCGAAATGAGTGTGGAAGCGCTTGAAAAGGTTGCCGGGTCTGAAATAGTGTATGGAGGAGAAGGAGGGAGACGAGTGGGAGCTGAAGCCTGAGGGGTAGGAAGGGCTATGGTGGAGGGGAAAGCAGCGGGGGAGCGGGAGTGCGAGACACGTTCATTGGATGTATTGTTTGTGGAGTGGGAAGGAGGACGGGCATGGCGGGATCGATGAGATCGATGTTGAGTTTGGTCAGCGAGTCGAGGTTTGCCCAGGGAATCGACGCTATCATTGGAGATTGGGGAGTGGAAGGTGGATGCGGTTGAAGGGCTGCGGGTAGAAGAATCATGATGGGTCTGTGTACGTGTGCGTCTACGTTCGCGTTTACGTTCTGGGTAGGAATAAAGTGATGGTGGTGGCGACATTGATGATTGGCTTAAGTCTGAATGTCTGAGGTATCGAATGGATTGTCTGGTAAAGGCGCTGGCTGTATGTAAGGAAGATCGTGGTTGCGGTGTGGATTGGTCTTTGACAAGAGATGTGATTGAATAAAAAATGTGTGATGAAGTGGACACGCAGTGAAAATTTGAATAAAGAAGATAAGGAATATGCAAGTCAAGTCAAACGTTGGCAAGTGAGCAAGTGAGCAAGTGAGCAAGTAGAAAACACTTAATTGAAGAGATGTGGATTGACAAATATCAACCAATTCAGATACATACATACAAAGCAACACGAAAATGAAAATGATTGAACAGAGAAAGGAGAACTTTCTGGACCTTTAAAAAGTCGAGAAACTATATAATACTCATCGACCACCGAGTTGCAAATCCCCATGTTACCATCGTAACAATGCCATCATCTCTATCACTTTTTCCAGAGAGAAGGATCCAAAACCAAGACATTGAGGCTCTATTTAGAAGATGATGGAAACGTGACTATTCACCGTTCGTTTCGTTTGGTTCTTTTGGAGGCGTATCTCTGCCCAAACTGCAGTGGCCCCTTCTCCCAATTACGCAATTCTATTACTGGCGACTTCGCTGGCAATTTGACCCTCCTAGTCTCTAGACCTTTCCATTTTTGAAGATACCCACCTTGTGCACGAGGATGCACAGTAATTTATTTTTCTCGCCTCATGGATTTCCATTTGATATCGATCTCTCGTCCCTCGCATGGCTGTACGCCGGACGATTGTCATTCAATCAGAACGATGTAAAATATGGACGTGAAAGAATTCGGAACGATTGGCAACACGTTTGTAAATTCGGGGGCGGGAAAATAATTGTGTACCTACCTAGGAGTCTAGGACCTATCGTATAGCTATCGGCTTTTCTTTCGATCTCGGCTTTGAGAGAAGATGTATGTACTCAGGCATTCATACAGCCTTCTTTTGACAAAAAAGAGAAAAGAGAGAAAAATGGATTGTGGAATGAAGAAGTTATGGAGCTGACGGGCAAATGTGATTCTCGCTCGTGCCTTTCGTGCCTTGATAGAAAAGAGATGGATCGCTTGTGACGTGTTCAGGGGAGATTTCTTTGGGAATTCTTTGGTTTATAGTGAAGCGTGAAGAGAAGCTAAGGCCGAGCCCTGAAAATCCTTTCTTCCTCTTTGGGTCTCTGATCACTTTTTAAGGGTTAGGGATTGCAGGACATGGATGGGACATGGGCGAGATGGGGAAAAATAGGATTGACGGATTTATTATTTGAAATTAGATATCTGATGGCTGGAAATGGTTACCTCGTCAATGGGAAATGGAAAATGGGAAATGGTCAACGGGGAATGGTCAACGGTCAATGGTCAATGGCAAATGGTACAAGGAGATCTTCCGGTAGATATATTAAAGTATCATTTGGATGGAGGATCCATCGATCTTGTGATGGGAAGAAAAAGGAGGGGGAGCATGGGGAGAATGGAGAAAAAGGGGAAATATGGAGAAAGGATATGGAGAAAGGGAGAGAGGGAGGCAAAAAGGAAGAGAAGACAGGAAAAGGGAGAGAAGACAGGAAAAGGAAGAGAAGACAAGAACAAGAAAAAGAAAAAGAATAAATAATCATTCAAATATCCAAATATCAGAAAATCAAAAAATTATGCCCATATTAGTACCGGTTTCACAAAGACCCTTAATTCAAGCAATTATGATTCACGGACCGATCCGTCATTAATCATTAGTCCCAAGGGAACCAATCAGTTTGACACATTTGATAGATGAAAGCCGAATGGAGTACCGGAATAATGAATTTTATGCAGTAACAGCATTATTTGCATATGTTTCCCAGGTGGGATTTTGGGATTTATTTAGACCGCAAGGACAAATAAAATTGGATGTATAATGACAACACACCAGAATATATATCGGTATGGATGTATGGTAGATGAGTAAATACAAGGGAGATAGATAGGTGGATGGAAAGTATGAAAGATTATATAAGAACTTTGATAGATTATGTGAGGAGAGGATGCTAGGTAGTAGTGCTTTATTTATTTGTTTGTTTGTTTATTACTTTTTACTTTCTTACCCTCCCTCCTTTCACACCGATATTTGAATGGAGAGCAGAGCAAAGGAAGGGGAGAGAAGAAAGAAATCTATCAATGACTTTTGTTCGCAAGTGATAGGATGATGATCAGATAAGAAAGACATAAAAGAAAGCACGAAAGAAGAAATTCTTTTTCTTTTTTCTCACTTCACTCTGACTTGATTAGGAAGTGGATCGTGCTCTTCCGTCATAATCCCGTCCCGAGGATAATTGCTGATTGCTGATTGCCAATTGCTACCTTACTCAAGTCACACACACACACATACCTTCACACACCCATACCACATACCACACACCCATACACCAGAAGATCATCAGCCTGAGCCAGTATTAGATTTTGATATCAGCTTGCGACAAGTTTTACATTGACTTATAACTAATAAGTTACCACCACCTATACCGGTACTTAGGTAGCTGCTATATTGGATCATTTACTCCCATTTGAAATCCATCCAATCCATCCAATCCACCCAATCCACCCAATCCACTCATTCCATTCTTTCAAACGATTTCAAACGAATTCCATCACAAGAAATCTCCTGGGTATGACCTTATTCATAACCCATCTAATAACATTATACACTACCATATCATATCATACCATACCTTGCCATACCTACAATACAACCATCCCCATTTCAAATAAACAACATACAATTCACCTCTAAAACAACCTATCAATTCTTTTTTTCCTTCTCTTCTGCAACAAGTGCTCTAAATATGGCACATTTAATTCGATTACCACTCTCTCATTCCGGCTCTACAGTCAATTCGCCAATGGCCGGTCATCTACATCACATTGGGCAAGCTCCCACCTCCTTCTTTCCTCCCAATACCTCTTCTCCAGCACAGTACAAATATCACTCATCTCCCAGCGGTGGTCCGATTTCTCCTCCTCATACTCGATCTGCTTCGGCAGAAAATACTGCTGCCGAGCTGGTCGAAGACTTCAGAAGATATTCGCACAACTTGAGAGAACAATTCGAAGGGGAACGAGCGCACATCTTGGCAGACAGGCAGCGTGCAATTGAAGTGATAGCAGAAGAACGAGAACTATGGGATAAGGAGAGAGGAATCTTAATTGCTCGAATTCGTGAACTCGAAGCAAGATTGAAAGAAAAGGGGGATGTCGTATCACCAGCTGGAATCTTCAATCTGGAATTGGCAAATTTAGGATTCAGCCCAGCAGCAAACGTATTCACTAGTCCAAATGGTGTACCGATCATTAAAGGTCCTACGAAAGCAATGGCATCTCCAGGAAGCGGAAGTACAGAATCGAAAAAATCATCGCACGGTCACCCAGAAATAAAACAAGAAACAGGAAGAAATGCAGATGGATCCCCATTTTACGCACCAGCACCACAAAACCCCACGAGAACATTTTCAGCAGAATCTGAAGCTCTGAGAGTCGAAGATATTCATGCGCCCAGACAAACACCGATTCAAGTCATTCAGGAGTTGACTCCGTCTGATTTTGTTGGATCATCTCAATATGCATCACCGGAACTCTTACATCCATATCATTCTGCCGTACATTGGGAGAAGGCCGAAAGTAACAATGGTGATATCATAGGAGCGGATAGTATAGATATATCAAAAATTGCTCCACATCTCGAAGGTGTACCCATCAAAGCCAGCGCCGTAGATCCAGTATTCGTCGCACATGTTTTAAGTCCCAGGTCTGCCAGTCCGAGATTAAGTCCAAATGTGAAGCCGCCAGGAAGAGATGTTGGATCGAGCTTAGGAAAAGCACATCTGGAACCAGAAAATAAGAGATTAACGATGTATGCGGGTCACACACCTAATCATTCCATTTCACGCTTTTCCGATTTGGTCAAAGAGTCTCAAGAGGCAGAAGGGGATGAAACACCAAGAGGTTTTGACGGACTTGTTCATCGGGGTTCCCTAGCGCCAATTCCGGATGAAGACGAAAGAATCGCGCTCGATAGACTACTACCAGATGAAGAGGATGAAGAAGTTTATGATCGCCCTCTAACAGGTCCATTATGTCTTACGAATGTTCCAGCCAGAGATGAATTATTCCTTGAAGCGCTTACCGAGAAATTGGAAGAAGTTAAAAACTCAAGACCGGGTAGTAAAGAAGTTAGTCCTACCGGTAGCGCAGGCACCTCGAGCCCGGTCTTGGAAATGAAAAAGGCGAGGAATAGGTCGATTGGTGGTGGAGGTGATGACGGGAGGGGTATGGAAGGAGAAGGACATGATTCTGAAGATGAAGATGAGGATGATGAACCAGGACCTGTTCTGTTGAAAATGAAGCCGAGTATGAATTTTGGAAGACCAATGGGACAGAGATGATTTTATCGTCGGATTTTAACAGTGGATAAGATTTTTCTGTTTGCTTTTTTCTTCCTACTGGAGTCAGATACTAGGATTGAATTTACATTTGCATGGTCGGATGGTATGATTTCAGGAGCCTCAAAAATTGGAAACTGCCCCTTTCTTCTCTCTCATTTGGCGAAATTCGACGTCTTGGCGGCCAGATAGGATCCGATCCGATGGAACTCGGATTCAAACCCGAACCCCAAGATTAGATGGATGGAAACCTCGCATCAAACTCACCATTAGCAGATGACGAATAATATCTCATGATCGTACAGAATGGTTGCAGCAGGAATATACTTATACGAATGATCGATCGCATGGATGGAAAGATACCCCCCCTTTTACAAGATTTCTTTTGTCAATGGAACAGAAACAAAACACTTGATTCGAAAGTTCTCGCATTCACATTTCAAATGGTGGTGCGTGCAGACAAATATAGATATAGCATAGCATAAAATAGCGTAGCGTCGTGCAGCGTATTCGGATATACCTGTGGGAAATTTGGGTATAGCATGGTATTACAGGTATCGCAGGCATGGCGAACAAATGGGCATAGCGAAAGCATAGTATACCCTTTGAATTGAACTATTTTTTTTGGCCTTTTTCGGAAGTGTGGTTCCTTCGCTATTTTGATGTAGATTTATGTGATGGATAAACGTCCCATTTCCATTGCAATCTCACTCGGAGGTTCATTCCCATTTTAATGTCGTCAAACTTGAGTGATCATTAGTATAATATAGGTAGGTAGTATAAAAAGGTTTATTGAATCGATTTGTCCATCCATTTCATCCATCCAGGAGACCAAACTCCGTCCATATATTTTTGAGCTAGGTGGTTAGATACCTGTGATTCTCTCATAACATAGCATAGAGCAAGCATACCGCCCTTCTTTCAGGCGATTCTTGCCATAACTCCCACGCGCTCCAGCGACTCAGCCCGAATATGCACTCCCACTTCGCGCCCAGGCCACTAAGCACTCTTACAATAATTGGCTGGAAAGCTCCCTTTCACCCCCCTTAACTCTCCATCCCACCAATCGTCTGTACTTCCCGTTTTCTTCGTAACCTTAATCCTATCACCTTCTTTAAAACTCAAATCTCCTTGTCCTTGGCCCTCAAAATCATAAAGCGCTACCACAAAAACGCCTCCATGAGAAGAACCCAGTCTCTTTGGGGGAGGGGGAGGAGGTTTCTTCTTTCCGATTGCAGAATTCACTGCTACGCCTTCATTGGTTGACCCGCGCTGAAAATAATCCAGAGATGGGCCTGCAGGAGCATAAGAGGAGGAATGCGTAGAGACAGGTGTGAGATGGTTGGAGTAGTCGCTAGGAGTTGGGGTTTGAAGAGGCTCGTTGTAGTCGTTGTCAGAGGTTGTAGGTGGTGAGAAAACGGGGACTGTATGTTGGGTTGATGGAATGCGAGGACGAGAGGCGGAACGAATAGGGGGTGGACGATCGGGCTTAGGAGATCGCGCGTCGGAATATGTGGTTGAGATGCTTGGATTGGGAGATGGATCGCGGTTTGTGCTCATAGATTGGTTCGAGGGACGACGGGAAAATCCATTGCGGACATTGAGACCGGTTATGGATTTTGAATTGGAGCTTGGATTTGCACTTTCGTCGCTGACATTCATGGGTTGGTGAACGGCTTTGCCGCGGCGGATACAATCTATGAGTTCGACTTCTTGTTTTATAGGGTGATAGTCTTGATTCCAGACTGCGATGACGTCTTCCATCGGGGGTGGAGGAGAAGGGAGGCCTACATCTTCGCAGTAGTTGTGCAATGCTGTGTAGTATTGGGCGAGCAGCGTATTCTGAATCATAATTTGTACGGCAAGTAAATGTGGTAGGATCGAAAAAGCTGCAGCGATTATAGGTGGTAACGTTTCTCTGAGATGAGCGTCTGCATCTTTAAATGCCTGGATATCAATTAGTACTACTCTCATTCGTTGACAATGTCCCTGCAATAGTCGGGAGGGACAATTCTCTTGAGGATCCATTCTTATTAAGTATTGGTGTGATGATTGTGTAGGTGCATATTTGAAGCCTCAAAAAACTGTCCCTCCGGCGATGGAAGGGTTATTCAGGTACCAACCTCTGCTGCCCTGCCTTGTTCCTCTTCAGCCTTTGCCAAAGCGGCGTTTTCTCGATCAGTCCTCTTCATCTTAGCAGACCCTTTATTGACCTTATCTATATATCTTTCCCAGTCTAATCTTTTGTTTTCTCGTTTCTTGATCGTCTTTCGAATAGGTTGTAGAAAGTCCTTTGCTTCCGTAGCCGGTTTTGTAACTCGAGAATCCATCATCATAACTTCTTCCAGTAGATCTGTTTTTAGTTCCGTATATGTTTCCTTCAATTTGATAGTTCGCTCCATTTGTTGGCGAGGGGTAACTGCTGGGTTGTCTCGATGAGCATCGCTGGTGCCTACAATGGGCTGATATAACTCCTCGAAACTTAGAGCTGTATTTAATTGAGAAGAAAGTATAGACACCCATGCGTCTCTCCATGCTTTCGAAGCTTCAATTATCTACTTATGTATATCAGTAATGTACTACATAGCGATAGCATATGGCGCGATGTTCAGGCAACTTACCATGTTGAGCATCTTATTCGCATCTTCGTAATCGCTCAAAAGTACAGATACTTTGGCAGTATCGCCAGGACCTTTGTGCCTGATCTTGCCAATCTGCCGGTGCATAGAATTCATTTTGTGTGTGAAAGAATGTATCAATGAGATAGTAGTTGTCAATACGTGCCACTTATCCCTACAAGATAGAGAAAAATGAATGAATTCCACGTAGTTGATTTTCAGGTGATTGAGAAGATGTTCAATGTTGATACCTCGCAGTAGGGACAGCTGTCAATAAATCAATTGATGAGATTTGCAACATTCAAACACAGCCCCGTTACTGGATTAAAGAAAGTTTAGTGGAGTGAGTGTCTCTAATAATGATCTTTTCTGGAGTTGTATCGTAGGATTTCATTTGGAAAATACTACCCAGGTAAGCAGCACCAAAAAGATGTACTGAAACTCCAACCGGTTCGCGGGGTTGAGATGAATGGCCTGTGCCTCCTTAAACAGAAACCAGCCTCCCGACTTGGAGTGACATAATTTGGTTGCCCAGAGAGTACCTAGGTCGTCCCCTCCTACCAGGTAGTCATACGAATGTAATTACGGTACGTTTACGTTATAATAATGATATAGGTACGTGTTTATTGTATAGGGGTGTCTTTTCCAGAGTGATTAAGATTGCTGAATCAACCTTCAATCCTTATCCCAATACGGTATTTAAAGTTCAAAACCTCAATGTTCGACCCCATCTGGACTTCGAATGAGAATCTCCATTTCAGCCCTGTTGAATGTAAAAGCGGCTTGCTATATTTCTTGTTTCAAGGACAATGAGCCTTCTGGATCACGTCAGATATCTTAATTGATTCATGAAACTACCAATTTGTTAAAGATTCTTCCTTTCTTTTCTAGGAAGTACATACTAGGTAGGTACCTGGGTATACCTAGGTATCTAAAACGAATCTATAAACAGCTCGTATGAAAGTCGTAAACCCTCACAATGTTCCGGTCGAAACATAGCGAAGCGATCATAACATCCATACGTTATATGAACTATCTTTACATTACTAGTCTGGACTCTGGAACGTCCCGTCATATTTTTGAACATGGATTAGTGGATTAGGGGGCTATCATTATATAAGCTAGTGGGTACCATTTTTCGGATCTATCCCCATCCAACAACTATTTATTAGTCGGTTGCTTAGTGAATTTTCTACATCGAACGTCCTTGGTCCGGCTTTTTCTTAGGGGTTTACATGTTGGAATACAAGCAGTAAGGTATCGATTATCCTTTTAACATAGTCTGAACCCAAGCAGCAGCGGTGATATCCCAATTTTGAGGATATACAAGATGAGCTGTAAGATTAGTACCGCTAGCACATACTGGATCGTCAACATTGCAGTAGTCTGCAATCTTTGAAGCATATTGGTTTTCGAAGACCGAAATCTGTGAAGCAGTTCTTGGATATTTCTAGGAATTGGTCAGTCCTTCTTTTGCTCATGTTTTTTCCGGCTTCTAGACCATGATATGCCGTGGCTCTGTCAGCATTACTTACGCCAGTTACATTGTTGTTCCCGACATCAAAGCTCTCGTTGGGGATGTGTCTTGGATCGCCATATAGGACTAAAGCTGTCATGCGTTCCCCAACTTTCGAGTTAATGGGGAGTGATCCATTTCCAGCACCGAGAATCTCATCTCCGCCTCCACCAGCTAGCATGTCTCCAACAACCATAGCACCCTGTTCGAATTAGCCTAGATTCAACATCTTACAGAAAGATAACGCACTTGAGAGTAGGCTAGAAAGATAATTTTCGAATCTTCACATGACTCTGCATAAGCATTAAACTGGTCCTGAGCAGCCACAAGCCCTTCAGCATAGCTGTTTGTGGAAGTGAGGAAGTCTCGTCTGTAGCAGGATATAACACTTTCGTAATCAGTGCCTGGATTGGCATCGGTAATCAACCCGGCCAAGCTCTCGAGAGTCCCAGGGTAGCTCTCAGTCGTTCCACGGGCGATAATCAAATGGACTGGAGCACATGCAGTGCTATTGACAGGAGCTCGAGATTGATGTGCCACGCGAGCGGTTGCCAGAGCTGGCAGGAGCAGCATAAGCGACGAGGCAAAAGGGGTCAACATAATGAAAGTATAGATGAGCGATAGAATTTCAAGCAAGTAACCAAACTTTTATCCAGGGAGTCTTTGGACTTAAGTACATTTAAATAACTCATCTACAATTGAAATTGTGGACCATTCAATACCTTAAATGGCAGTTGAAACGCGTGGCAATATAGCGATTGGGTAGATAGTATACACAGTTGAAGAACTCGGTGCCGACATGAAGATATCGTCCAGGGGAATAGCCCATGATTTTCACCCCGAGATTTATCGTCGCTCATGAAATACACAAACTTTAATGTTCAACTAAATCTAAGATTTCCAGACTTCAAATTCAATCTCAAACAATGAAGTTCCAATATACATTTATGGTTTTCATCCTTTTGCCCCTCTAATCGTATCGATATGGCTTATAGTTTAGAATGAGTTCTTCTCCTTCTTAGATTGTCATTATTTGTATAAAAGACCCTCATTCCCCAATTCAACTTTTAATGCCTATACGATTTCAAGCCTTGATAGGTATTTAAACTTAGTCACCAGTTATATAATCTGCAAATTTTAATTCAATGACTGACACCAATATAACAGATTCGTTATCGGGAACTCCAGTTATCAGCACGTGTTAGCGGGGAGTCGGCGCGTTAGATCAGAGTATCATTTCTAGGTTTCGCGTCACGTAAGGAAACAACGAAATCCAAAGATTGATTTTCAGGCACGACGAGGACTTTTCCCTTGAAAGTTGCCTACTGCTTGACAATCCCCTTGACACTATGAGTCATATCGATTATTCTCAACTCTCCAAAAATGACGGCCTCCGCCAATGTTGCCATGTCTATGGACGTTCCCCCAGATCAAAATACCGCTCCAGTCCTCGAATTTCGTTGCCTCTATACAGCTGATACACGTCGAAAACAGAAGCGTTGGCAAGATGGGCGACTCAAATATCACACTTTCAATAAGCGTGTTATGGTGTTTGACGAAAGATCGAATTTGGTGGGAGATGCACATTGGCGCGAAAAAGCTCCACTTGACGAAGGGGCCGAGTTGGAGTTGGAAAGAAATGGAATATTGGTCGAAGTGTCGGAGTTTATGGAGAAGAAGGACCAAGATCTTACCGAGCTCATTGACAAAAGAGTTAAAGAAAGGGAGGAGAGATTTATTGCAAGAAACGGAGACTCATCACCAGCACGATCCGCAGCATCTATCATTCGGTCGCAAACTATTGCTGCGGCTCATTCAAAGCCGAAACCACTCAACTCTATACTCGGCACACCTTCCGGTCATTATGGAAAGGCACTTGTGTCAAAGACGTCTCCATTCGAACAACGGCAGATATTAAATGCTATAAATGCCGGCGAAACCGAAAGTCCTAGGCCTACGAAAAGAAGAAAGGTAAATGAGCCGCCACCCAAAAATGGATTTGCGCAAAATCTTATGGGGGCTACTTTGTCATTCACGCCGACACCATCGAGCGCGGGACCTATAAGATATGAGTCCTTAAAGCTGAAGACAGTCCAACGACCAGATGTTAACGATATTAAAGAAAATGTGGATCATGATGAAGACATCCTGTCAAACGGAAGACAAGGTCTGGCAGGTCACATCACTAGGGATGTAATTTCCTCTAAGAGTCGAATGCAAGCAAGAAAGAGAGATAAGCCCGAGAAAAGTGGATATGCTAGCAATCTTACCGGAGCATCTCTATCACTTTCGTCTTTTCGTGAAGCTACGCCTAGAAATATAGAAAGGAATGCAGTCGTGCAGAAGAAGCAACCGAAAACAATCGACTTGTCAATGGATACAAGCTCTGACGAAGATGGCCGCTCAATTTCAGTAACAAAGCCAAGGGAAGTTGCCCGGAAAAAGAAGGAATCTCTACCCAACATATCTGAGCAGACACCGCGATTATCATCCTCGACATCAGCAATTACACCAGTACCTAAACAAGTAGCAAAAGTATCGAGTACAAAGCTGGAGTTTCAAAACAATGCTTCACCACTGAACAAGCCACAGGAAAGATCTCATTCGTCTCTACGTATCAAGTCTCGCCCACGCAATAAGATGTTGATGTGTATGGATCAACTCGGCTCTCGATCTTCTCCATCAGAATTACAGGGAGTCAGCGGATCAAGCAAGTTAGATTCTGTGATTCGCCCAGCGATACCATCTTCCAGCACCCAATCTATTCAATTGTCACTAGAACAAGAGACCACCAGATCTACCGAGCTAAAGCATGTCTTGCCAATAGTGAGATCATCTTCGCCTCGCAGGCCGACGATTGATAATGATTTAGGAAACAATTCGGTCAATGATGATGGAAACGATGGACCGCAAATCTCACAATGTCAGGACAATCTAAGATTTAGTGATCTTGAAGAGCCTCTGTCCTCTCCAGGGAACATTGGTATCAACCATCAAACAATAGATGCTATTCTGTGTCGTACTCGTCCTCCAGAGGCTCAGAAATCTATGCCTATAGTGGCGCCGGCCACGAGAGAAGATCAAGAATATTCAGTATCCAAACAACAATGTCAATCGGAGAACATTGAAGAGGGATCTGGACAGCCTGGCTTAGAACATCTCACGACCCTGAATGAGAAGATTCCTCAGGTAATCGAACAGAAAACTCAAGATCGTGAACAAATTTCACAAAAATCACCTAAAACTCTACCCGAGACGTCAAGAACTACCCAGAAACAATCCAGAAATTCTACTGGCCTGCATGAAGGTACCGCTTCGGACCGGGCCTCAACGACTGAAAATGTCGAGACGCGTCTAGAATCCAATGTGCCACCTTTAGTTACAGAAACAGACACGACAGCAATTTCTAACTCTACCTCTAATCCTCATCTCCCTGATAACGATTCTCTCATAATACCAAACCCTGTAAAAAAGATAACCTCTGCGACATGTGCCCTCCAACAAAACTTGGCAGTTGCAAAAACTACGATATATCCCAATTCCGACATTGCGAGCAAAAACGACTCCACTATTTTGGAATCAAAAACAGTCACAGTATCATCAAATTCTGCTGTTGCACCTTGTATGCAGTCGAACGTTATCGACTCAGATAAGATCTTGGTAGGCATGACATCTAACGGTTCTACTTTCAATGCGACTGGCCGCTTCATGACCAAATTGGTACCGACACGGAATCAGCATCAAGTGGAGAGATCCCTGATCAAGACGAGTTCTAGTCTGATTGACCAAACTGCGGCTTCTTTCACAGTGGCACAATCTTCCAAAAATGTCGAAATTAAGCAGTCACCGAGCTCAATTCCAGACATTTTTCCCGTCGAAGAAACAAGAAATGATGAAACCAGTGGATTCATGTCAGCAAATCAGATAGCAGAGAAAGAATCACAAAATCGTACTTCAGAGGCCTTCACTTCTGGAGATCAGGGTCCTTCACGGCCTAGAATCATGAACCCCGCAACTCGTGGAATGTCAATTCAAAAGACTGCCAAGAGAACCCTGCACGCACTACCTAGATCTCCACCTGTCAATCAAATGGGTCCACCCGCGGCCATTCTTGGAGGCCTCGGAAGCGGAAGGAACACTACAAACGACATAACAGGGAATCTAGGGAATGAAAGAGACGTCAATGGGCCATGGAGCAGAGAATCCTTTGATTTGTTTGGACCATGGAGGCCGCCTATACAACAGTCGTGAAGAACTATGCTATCCGCGCCTTATCGCTCGCCCCACCAGACTATTTGGATTATCTACTTATCTAATGAACCCATGGAGTAGCCACTTCATCCTGACATCAAGTTCCGATTGTCAAATGAGAACGGTCTTTATCAAGCTGTGAGCTCCTATCGGCCAACCGCATTCAAGAGATTACCTCCAGCCGTGAAGAGTCGAGGAAGTCGCAAAAGCTCGTATTACTTGGGAACTCTTGGGCACTGGTGCTTCAAGGGCGTTGATAGGGCGGGCTTCTACGTTTCAGAATGCACAATCGTCGTGTCTTTCCTCCACAAATAATCAATTACTTCGCCACACAAGTAGTCGCCGCCGCTTTTTTGAACAATCGCTACATGTAGCAAGTATCGTAATGCTGCCTCGTACCTAGGAATCGGACTGAGACTTAGCTATTTTACGGTTGAATTGTAATAGGAGGTTCTTTGGTGTACCACATATTACTGTTTTCACAATCATAGCAGAATATACCTTGTCTCTCAAAGTACAGATTGAACCAGCCACACTTCCAGAACATCTCTTATCTCCACTCCAATTTCGCTAGTAATCAGAACGAGCAAGCACTTGCACCGCCTTCATTTGCGAAGCAAGCTTTCACCGTCCCTTGGCAGCTCGTCCCATTGTTATTCAAACGTCAACATCATTTGATTGATTCGTGACAATGTGTTTTTATATGTTCAATGTCAATTTCCTCTTCATTGACTAGCGTTAACGTCACATACTTCACCGAAATCCCTGCAGTAGTGGGTAGGTTCGTTTAAAATGCTTGGGGCGCTGTATCAATTGAGTACCGCGTGGCCAGCCTCATCTCACACTGAATACTTATCCAGCATGCACCCCCCTTCTATTAACAGCCGTGTATAGATTTTTTCATCTGCGAACTGTCTCCTGTCAGTTTCTTCATTGTTTGGCTACTCCTTCATAATATACGGTTACCAGCACAGGAACATCCTTGTGACCGGTTCTGTTCTTGTATCCTTTCCGATCCAATCTTTTAGGCTTCAGCCTTACTTCAATTCAACATTTACCACCCAAGAGTCACAACCAACGGTTGAAATCATCTACTCCTGATCAGCCCACAAAAATGTTTCGTGGAGGATTACCATCATATCCATATCTGCGGCCACCTTCGCCTGGGCCTCGATCTCATCGGAAAAGAGTATCGGTGAACACCTCATCAAGCCAGACATCGTCCCCTTCTTCATCTACACATGCTGCCGGTGTCGAAAAGAAACCCATACCTCCGGAGAAATTCCAAAGTGCTCTGAAGCTATATAGCGAGTTTCGGATGAAAGAAGGATTGGCGCAACGATCCCCGGACCCAAACGCGACATCGCCAAGTAGCATTGTGTCATTTGGTGCTCCTGGACCTCTCACCAATGCCTCTCGGTCATCTCAATCTAAAACTGTACATTCGTTTGATGCAGCCCCTTCGGATTGGTCTTCGGTGATATCATTCGATACCAGCAGTCAGCATTCGGTCAAATCTGGAGCAAAGAATAAAGCAATCTCTTATAAAGGCAAAGCAGTATCACAACGGAAAAGGAAAAGGTTCCCCCCTGTGCCTAAAGCCGAAACGGCCTTAATTCGACATTTAGGGGCTTGCGGGAAATGTAGAGGTCGTAATGTCAAAGTATGTGGTAGCAGCCTCTTTTTGTTGATACTTTGTCTGATTCCGCGTTTTAGTGTCCCTTAGAACATCACGATATCGAAAGTCTAGACCGTGCCCTACAATCAAGTCCTAGCAAACAAGAATTCGACTCACAGTGCTACAACTCGACTTCCCCTATGAACGAGTCTCAAAATGCAAAAACCCCTTCTGGACAAGCTACACCAGTCAATTCGCAAGTACAATATGAACTGCAGGGTATCGGTGAGAAGTTTGATGTCGCGCCCGACATATCCCTCGATCACGATTTGATCCTTTCGCCCATTATTGATCTGGAGACCAGCCAAAGCCAAAGTGAAAACGGCTTATCGACCTCCATAAGTCTTGAGACCCGTGTTGCGAACCACTATTCCCCCTTCCGACATGGTGGTCAATTTCCTCTTGGCGTTTGGGATTGTTCGACTTATAAATGTTACTTTCTTGATGGCGAATGTCGGCACTCCTTCGTTGATGAAGAATCTTTACAGGCACATTTTGAGGACAGCCACTTCGAGTTTACCCGCATTGATCCTTGTCTTAGATTGATTTGCACTGAATGCTTTTGTGTGACCACCTCTCACTCTTGCGGCTGTGGTGGCACAGTGAAATTGTTCATCTGTGGGAATTACATACCAACTGGACATTATCCTTCCGAACCGTCGCCTAGAACATCCTATTCCTATACTGGATTAAACATACCCACAATACTTTCAGACGATTCTTATACAAATACAGCTTTTGGACAAGGGCTTGGCTTTCATACCAACGGGACTCAGAACTTCGGCAGTAACGCTAACAGCATCTTTTATGGCGATGGCAGTAATATGTACCCAAGCCCCAATTCCTCCACGTATGGTTCCTACAATTATGATTCTACACAACCCGGTGGGAATCGATATAATGGATATGCATGGGCGCTGACTCTGGGAGCAAAGAAGGCTACTGAAACTCCTGTACCCTATTGCGTGATGAACTTCAGACAAACTTCGAGGCATCAAAAGATATTAGTATATGTATTACTTTCCTTGATACTTATCTTCACTGGCTTTCAACTCTTCCCCTGGATTATATCTACCGTCTCGAAAATCGATCAGTTTCTACCTAGTATCCCAACTCTAGGATTCATAGGATTTCTGATATCTTTTGCTACAAGTTGGGCTACGAGACATGTTCATTCTTCTCGCAAAGCTAAGCAATGCAAAATGGTAAGTGCTGATGACTGCTTAGCCATTCCTTTAGCTTAGTGGATAGGCTCTAACGATTGTCGTTTTTACAGCGTCGATGCCCCCTTCATACTCTTACACCCCTCAACCCCCAATACGGCCAAAGAGTAATTCCTGTCTTGATACATGCGAGTGTTTCATGAGTTGATGGGTTACGCACCTCGATAATTCCTACGCGCAACGCAAATGATCATTAGCTCTGGGACCCAGGGAACAACAATCATCACGACTAATGATTCACCTTACCAACCTCCTTCACAATCACGCTCCTCTCATGCCATTTGACGTAATGATATTTCCTATGTTCTATAATTTTGGGTTTAGCATGGGATAGGATGGGTGTATATTGTCCTCTTTCTTTCCTACCTTTGCATTGGATTAAACGTGTCGCGCTCAAAGCACAGAACGTTTGCGCAAAATTTACTCGCACTTCTCATCTCTCTTTTTCTTGTTGCTCATGTTTATGGGAAATGCGGCTGCGTGATTGGTACATGGATTGGGAAAAGGGACACTTCTCTATTACCAAGGAGTATAAAACAGGACATGAAAGATATGGATGAATGAACAGATATGATGAATGAACGGATATGATTGCAGAATTTTAAGCTAGCGAAATTTATACTTTTTGGGTTTTATTTGACTTTTCTTTGTCGCATCTTCACTTTAATTGAATTCGCCGGCGAGTCAGCGGGGTTGATCTCATTTACACAGCGACTGCTTCCTCATCCCTACATATCGCACAACTCCGCCGAATTGTGCATCAATCCAAGTCTTTTGATCTACAGCTGACGTTGGATTTTTCGATCTGATTCTTTTTTAATGAAATGCAATCAATCTATCTAGTACTCAAAGCAATTCAGCTTGGTGAAATCGGTCCACTTTTGGAGTTACAACGCACTGAGTACTTGTGTAACACGTGATTACCAACATCACAAGCCGTCCCCTCCTCCGTGGTGGGGCGATGAGGGGGTTGATTACAAACCCAATTGTTTTAGCTCGCTAACTTACACAATGTTGCAGCTTTGGCGGCTGAAAAGGGGTGAACATGTGCTCATCATGGAAGAAGGTAGAATGTAAAATACGAGTGGAAACTGAAGGCGGGGACGGGGACGGACTTGGAACTGAAGCACAGGTAGAAATGTGGAGATATTTGTTGTACCTGTGTTATCACCCATCCACCTTGGTATCTATAAAAGGGAAGAACGACCTTAGGTGACATGTAATTTTTAAATCTCAACTAACTGGTCCTCTTCTCTTCTCTTCTCTCTGCCCTTTTACAAACAATTCAACCTCAAAGTTATACACAAAGTACTCACAATCACAAACGTACATTCAATCATTCATCTAAAATGGCTCTCTCACTCTACGATATCTCAGTTGTCCCTTTCATCAAGAGCCTCAAGACATTATCAAGTCAGTCTTTCCTATCTCATTCGCTATATCTCTCCTCCCATTTCACTTTGTACATTGATTAACAGCGTCTCCAGAACTCCTCGCAAAAGGACAAGCACACTTTGAAGATGAATCTAAAATTATCAACGCAAAATTGATCGATGATATGGGAGATTTGATTTTCCAGATCCAAAGAGCTTCTGACGCTGCTAAGGGATTGGCAGTCCGGGTTGCTGGTGCAGAAAGTGTTGCTTTGGAGGACAACGAGAAGGATGTGAGTTTAAGTTTGGGTTCACTGTTTTTCTTTTGGAGTAAAAATGAGGGCAATTGGGCTTGCAGGAAACAAAGTAGTTCATCGAGTGATGAACATGCATCTTTGTGATCACCCATATTTGGGTAGAAGTATATCAATTGAGATCTGGCATTCGACAAAAGTCTAGAGTTAGGGTGGGGGTAGAAGAGCTTGTGTAGGCACATGGCCTCCACTCGCAGTCCGAAGCTTCTTGACTTTTGCCTGCCACATCTCATTTTCTCTATGCTGTTTATCCCTCAAACCTTCGACCATACAAGGTTCCATCATTCTAACAACCTCTACAGTTCGCCGCTCTCTATACCCGTATCAACCGCACAATCGAGATTCTCGAAGCCCTTCCCTCTACCTCTACAGATGGCAAGGAAGACACCGAGGTAGTATTGAAGCTCCCAAGTGGAGACCTGAAATTCACTGCCAAGGACTATGTTCTTAACTTTGCAGTTCCAAACTTCTACTTCCATATCGTTACTGCTTATAACATTTTGAGGTATGTTTCAATATATCTAATTTCCCTGAAGATAGAAAGATGACTAGGCAGAGGAGTTTCGATAAGACATTTGGAAGATAAACTAACGCGGATGTGTGTACAGAAAGGAAGGCGTACCGGTTGGAAAGTTTGATTACCTTGGAAGAGGTAATTGATAATACTGTAGATGACGGAGTAAGGAAATGGTGTTTTACTACCATGATGGAGATTGGGAATTCATCCACGGCATTGATTTTAGCTCCACGACCAATGAAAATTTACATTCTTAAGACAATTCCTTACATGCGCTATATACTTATGAGCCCTTTTCCAGTCTCCTGATTTCTTACTATGCAAGTGTTATATATCAACTTAAGCGATTACAGATATTTTAGTAATCATCATATCATACTCGTCATATCATACTCATCATGTCATGCTCAACATTAACCTTCCCCTTAGGGCTGAGAGCAAAACGATAATTCACTTTCACAATAAATAGTATCTTCTAATCAACACTAGCATACCCTCTCAACAACTAGCTCCCTCGAAATCTCAAAAATCCTTTGCGCTCGCCTTTTCATTGGTTTCCATGATACAATGACGTCAATTTCGAGATTGTTCAGATATGCAACAAATTGCAGTTGGGACTCTAGAACGGGATCTAAATCGACCGGATTCACTTGTGCTAGGGTTCGGGAATACTAGTTCCTATTTACTAGTGTCCAGTGAATACATTAATTTGGTACGCAGTTCGGACTGAGATCTCATTTCTTTGCGCGAGGAAATCTATTGGTTCTGCGGATTCGGTGACGTCAATTTCGAGATGGAGCAGATGTGCAACAAATGGGTTGGTGGGGGGCTAGGGATTAGGGCTGAGTGGGTTTAAAATTCACTTTTGTTTGTTTGTGGGATGATAGTGTGTTCTCGTTTTTCTAACTTCAGATGGGAGTTTACTTTGGAGGGGGTTTGGTGTTCGAGGAGAGAGAACTTTGCAACCAGTATGTGAGGTGTAGGTAGTATGTGAAGTTTATGATAGTACTAGTGTTGAACTCTTTATCTCTGAGAAAGAAAATGTTGTGTCGAAAAGTTGTATAGAATTGAGATTCTTTCTCTTGTAGTATGTCATGATGATTTCCTTATGTTTGTTGTTATTTTGCATACAGAAATCGAGATAATTCTCCAGAGAGGGGCGTTTGTCTCTTGGGGCCGTTGGATGATCTCCCTTTTGTTGTTATGGTTCTTGGTATATAGCATCATAGAATTTCCATAATCAAATGCGGTGTTGGGAGGTGAAACAAGTGAAGGCTAGTCCTGGTCTGGATCTGTTTTAGCTTTCTAGCTCTAGACTCGAATCAAGCGAAAGAATGCAAGATCTAAAATGAGATTGGTAGACTGAGAAATTCCCCTAAAATAGTTACTAAGCATGAGTATTTCCCCCGTTGATGTTCTACGGGGGTTTTAATAATCAATATTATAGTTCAAAGGTGGAAGATTCTCAATACCTAAACATATTTAGGACCTCTAGTTCGTTGGTAAAGACTTCACTCCCTTGGAATATATACTCGTCTTGAATGATTAGTTTCCGAGGAAACCATCAATAAATGCACCAATTTGAGTTTAGAGAAAGGTTAATCTGTATCCAGAGACTCATAATATCGTGAGCTTCGCCGTCTAGTCTGTGTGCTAATTTGACACTTCGGAATGTGAGACTACCTAATCATCTTGAGCGTACAAGTTGGTGTAGAAGGTGTAGCGAGATATTCAAGTCAAACTTGAATACTGAAGATGGACGGTAGAGGTTAAAGTCAAACTAGCGATCCGGCATCAAGGAGCATCTTTAAATTATGGTATGACACCATACGGCGAGCGATGGCCTGCAAACAAAATGGCTCCATAAAACGCCATTTTTAACGAAGCCATGACGACGTAGAGTCACGGACTCATGGCATCATGCACTCAGATGAACCAATAAATTTCCCCTGCCTATCTTCAACCTTTATTTCTCTTCAACTATACATCTTCATCAACCAACCTAACCAGATAGATTATGTTACTCGATGATATTTTTGAAGTAACAATTAAATCTTCATGCCACCACCATCAGAGTTTTTATTCATGTTGCAACTACGCATATATGCTGACATCTCTCTAATGAGTATAATTGGAGTATTTGCTAACGCAGTCATGACAAGTCTTGACATGCCCAAACAGTCCGCTTCTCGCCTGTAGTACTAGTGCCCAAAGCGAGTATGTAGCGATATCTCTAGAAACAACAAATCCACAACTGCCCTAAGGAATTCTGTAGAAGCTTTGCAACCAGCAACAGGATGAAGAATCATCCTCACTTTATTACTATTTCGACACATCCATGTCGCAATCCATTCAGCACACCATCATTTCTGTGCTTTTACAAACAAGAAGAAAGCTCACTCGAATCGCAAAACGTAAAGCTAAATGCCTGTGCTAAACCTACGACACGGACAGACCACTTGATCTCTTCTCACTTCGTTCAGACCATGCAGGAAATCAATCTGACCTTCATCGTTCCTCAAAAATGAGGTGCTAACGATGTCGAACTCTACCTCTCTCATCTACACTCCTCCAAATCTATAAATCTACCGCTTAAATTCCACCCCCATCTTCAATACCCTTCAGCAAAACCACACTCCCATATCCATTATCCATCCTTTAATCTTAAATGCCATCCTCAAATTCCCCTTTCAGAAGAAATACAACACTTACTCAATTGAAAACACAAAGGAATACATTCCTCCCCTCCTCTCAGAAAGTGTATTCAGAATACCAGCATACAATGCATACCCTCCCTATCATCTGACACATAATTGCGAGCAGTTCAGAAGCCGAGGGAAGTCGAGTGGAACGAGATACTTGAGTCAACATTCACATTCGTAGAGAACATTGAGTATTGTATTATTATCTTTATATTCTTCATAAGTATTACAATCGTTCTATAATATGCACATGCTAGGTATAGTTCCAACATTCGTTTTGGATCAAGATATCCTCATCCCAAACATCAAGTCCAGTGCCGTAGTAAGAGAAAAGCTTCAGTCAATATGTCTTATATATGACCAGTAGCTCGTATGAGGGATCACAAACACGTAAGTTCATGATCACTCAACCCATCCCAAATCCAATCAAACGCCCCAACCTTATGCCAAAGGCTTTCTTGCAACCATCAAATACATAGGGGTGAACAAATCTTCCCTAGCACCAGCAACCAAACAATCAGCAGCCAACGCCAATGAATCAGCTGTCTTTTGTGTTCCGTGTGGTGCCAACTTCAAGTACTCCAAAGCACCGACAAATTTGTGGACTAATCCTCGACCAACCTTGGTCATACGGGCAATAGTAAAGAAATCTCCCATGGTACCCATGTGCTTAAATTCACCAGCCAAAGGATAATACCATGGAGTAGCATCTGGTCTCTTGGCCAAATCCTCATTGAGTACGAGTTCGAAACCAGCGGCTTTGATGGCGGCGATACCCTCAGAAATCTTGACCATGTTGGAGATTCCGTCACCTTGCTCAATACCGAGACGAATCTCACGGTGATGTTCATTGTCGTTATCGTAGTTATCGGTCATGAGCCATTCGTAGACACCGAAAGTTCCACCTGGCTTGAGAACCTTGAAAATTTGGGAGTAAACACCCTCGAGGGATGGGGCGTGAACAGTTGCTTCAATTGCATAAACAGCATCGAAAGAGTTTTCTGGGAAAGACATTTGCTACAAAACTATTAGTCATGGTCCAAGAGAGAAAAGGCGGTGCCAATGAAGATATGTGAAGTCTTTATCAGTGCATATGGTGAAAATTGTCTCATGGCTTGATCTCTCAAGCTCTGAAGTAGCAAATACTTTGAAATTGCGTAGCATCATATAGACTCCACACATCTCCGTGGCTTGAAATCAAGAAAGGTTGAACATACCATGAAATCTCCCTTGACAAATTTCAATTGATCAGACATGCCCTCCTTTGCCGCATATCGAGTTGCACGCTCAATTTGATAATCGTTGTTGTTCAAACCAGTAATGTGTGCTCCAGTGAACTTGGCAATCTCTCTTGCTGGTCCACCGACACCGCATCCAACGTCCAAAACTTTGTCACCATCCTTGATACCAATTTTGGCTGCGAGGTAATGTTCGTGACGAGCAATGGCTTGGTAAAAAGGCTCCCCGTATGCGAAACGACAGAAATGGAAAGATTGTCCCCATCCATATTCGTAAAGATCGGTTGCGAGATTGTAGTAACTATACATATGTTAGCATTCAGTCTTGCCTGAGATCAACGGAATAACTCACTGTCTGGTCAAAGTAGCATATTCTGCAACGCGTGCATCTCTGTCTTCCTTGGTCTCGTTCTTAGCAGCCTTGTCATCCCAATGCTTGAAGTATTCATCAACAGCAGCCTTTTGAGCCGAAGAGTCCTTTCCCATCATAGCACGGAAACCACCCTCGGCGCTGGATGAATCCTTATGCATTGCTTTGTTGAAAGCAGCATCGCGGGAGTGATCCTCGTTCTCGAGCTTGGTTGGAGCCATTGTAAATATTGAATGAATTCGTAAATTAGAAGACGTATATTTTAAAGAAAGCGGTATTCGAGTTGATCGAATTTTGAAGAATTAAATGAAGGTAAAGTAAGGTTAAGTGGAATGGTTGAAAGTTTAGGACATTGAAGAAAGGGGAATTTCTGATAGATATTTATCAACACCATTGAAATTATGGCCAGGGTAATTTAGTTACCCCTAGTCGTATAGCGAATCGTATTCGTGTACTAGGCCCGAAGTGATAAATGTAAGGGGTCTCAAGCCTCTAATTGGCCATTGAGCCTCAACCATGAATGGGGAATTTTCGATAGGCGGCGGGACAGCAAATTGTGCAGATTAGACTCGAAAGGCTGGGCAATAGAATCGTTGGCATTTTTGGATACACCGGTACCTAGGTAGTGAGAAGAAACGGTGAATGAAGGATCAGAGTGAGGATTTCTATCACGGTGCACCGAGGTCTCAGAATCCTTCAAATCATTCACATGTAATAAAGTCTAGAAAATAGATTGAAAGGTATACATCATTGAGGAAGTTGGAAAGATAATATTTGCTGAGTAGGAAAAGGCAAAGAAGTCTACCTAGGTATTGTTTTGATTTGTAAGGCTATCTATCAGCCTTATCACGTGTACCAATGCGCAACTGCATTAAGTCAAATTCCTGATTTCGAATTTCTTCGCCTCTTCTTCAGCCTTTCCTAGCTTCTATCATCAAGCCATCAAAATAACAACGTCACTTTGTCGCAAAAGACACACTATAAAACCCACGATATCGACACCGTTATCCTACAAATATCATAACAACATCTAAATTCCTTAATCATGCCACCACAAATCAAACAAGATCTCAATCGCTCCGGATGGGAAACCACCGACTTCCCCTCCGTCTGCGAAAATTGTCTTCCCGATAATCCTTTCGTACAAATGATTAAACAAGACCACGGCGAAGAATGCAAACTTTGCACACGACCTTTCACCGTCTTCCAATGGAAAGCCGATCGCACAGCTCGTAGTAAACGCACCAATATCTGTCTCACATGCGCGCGATTGAAGAATTGTTGTCAATGCTGTATGTTAGATTTGAGTTTCGGTTTACCGATAGTGGTTAGAGATGCGGCGTTGAAGATGATTGCACCGGGACCGCAGAGCGAGGTCAACAGAGAATACTATGCGCAGAATCATGAGAAGGAAATCGAGGAGGGAAAGGGAATGGAAGAGTATGAGAAGACGGATGAGAAGGCCAGAGAACTTTTGAGGAGGTTGGCGAACAGTCAGCCTTATTTCAGAAAGGGGAGAAAGATGATTACGGATGGGGAAGGTAGTGGTAGCAGTGCTGCAAATGGAGGTCAAAGTGAGAGGGGAATAGCATTGGCAACCAAGGGACCAGGGCCGATCCGAACACGAGATGGACAACCGAGCAGGGGTGCTGGTCGGGGTGGTAGAGGCGGGGCCAGAGGAGGGAGAGCTTTCCCTAGTGCGGCGCAATTACCACCAGGGCCTCAAGATATCTTACCACCTTCCGACAAATCAATAACTTCGCTTTTTATTACTGGTGTTGAAGACGACTTACCAGAATATAAGATTAGGGATTTTTTCTCGCCATATGGGAAATTAAGATCATTGGTCTGTTCGCACATGTCACATTGCGCATTCATTAATTATGCGACAAGAGAAGGAGCCGAAGCTGCAGCAGAAGCCTTACAAGGAAAAGCTATAATTGCGGGTTGCCCATTGAGAGTACAGTGGGGAAGACCCAGACCCATTGGTACGATGGATAAGGATGAGCGCATAGCTACCGGCAGGGAAGGACGATCCGCGTTTTCGAGTTCGGGTTCGGGTTCACAGAGAAGAGCGATTGAGGGTGGTGCTTCACAAGCTGCAGCTCCACGGGATGATTTGGCTAGTATGTCGGCAGTTCCTGCTCCACCTGGTGCAGGCGACGTGCAATATGCCAGTTTGGCCGGTAATTAGGGGTTTTGATGAATGGAAATTGTTCTTTCGGGTGTTTGGGCGTTGGGAAGCCAAAGGCTCTGGGAAGTGGAGTGATCTTTGTATGTCTAGAAATACATTGCATATAATGACAATTGTGGCCTTTATGGTCACGACATATACCTATTTTGCTTTGTGTCAATCTGTCTGTAAAACGTCCTCGCTATGCATGTCACCCTTTTGACCCTCTCAATACCGGTCTCGATGTCCTATATTTACATATCCACTTTTCTGTCCCCAACTCTCATTGTCTTCAGAAACCAATGTAACCTCAGATAACCTAGTCCTTGCACGTCTTCCCGTCAATAGTAACGTTCTTGCCATTCGGCATCTTGATCGTATCATTATCTCCCCGTTCTGTATCTTCGTGAATGTTTAACTCTGTGATCTGTTAGCTTGATTTTGATCTTTCCATTATGTGAAGATTTTGACCTACTATACTTTTCATCCCCCTCTGCTTTCTGTCCCTGCACCACATTTCGCCTCAAGAATTGCGCAACATCTTCTGCATGCGCAATGGCAGCTATAGATTCTGGTGATTCGGGAGCGAGAGATCGGTTGGCGAGGAAAGTGCTACGGGCTTGTTTGCGCGCGGAAGTGAGAACCGCGATATCTTCTATGAGGGGGTTAGATACTAGTTGCTCTTGCAATTCTCGTTGTGAGATGAACGGGAAAGCACGAACCATTGAATGCGACTCGAGTCGCACGGAGAAGATGTCTGTAGGCTGCTAAAGCCATGGCTTTTGATGTCTGTAAAACTACATAGCATATTTTGGTCAGCATACTTCTATCCTTTGAAAGAGTAAAACGACAGCGATATATCATTTTATTAGACTTCCTTTTAGGTGACGATGACTACCCCAAAGAGCAATTTCAAATGGAACTGTGCCACACCCTGCTTTGTGTCGAAAACCAGGCATCCTGCGACTTCTATCTATGGATCAGATGAGATAGATGAAAGGAGGTCAACAGGACTACCCAAAGCAGACTATAGTGCAGCCTTCGAAACCATGGAGGTTAGGAGATGCTTTGGAAAGATAAACGAGGCACATAGCCAAGTTAATAACACAAGAAGAATATTTCCAACTACATGGGTATATCCAGACTATAAGGGTTGCAGTGGAACTGCAACTTCCCCAGGGCTTTTCACATTACCCATGGCATGGAACAGCGACACGATAGACAGTGGGGATCAAAGACAAGGCAACAGGCGGAATTTTAGGCCAAGAAGTATCTCGTCTAGAAAAGCGAGAGCCCCAGAGATAGCCATGTTTGAGGCTATTGATAGACTGTATATGCGCTCCAAGAAAAGCAAACGACCTTAGAGAGCAGGTATTCACGTCTAAAGCGCCCAGCCCGGTTTCTCAGGCCTCTCAAACCACGGTATAGCGCGAGACAGACGAAGGCGCATGCACGACTTGCTCAAGTCATTCACCTGAAAGCCCAAATTTGAATTCAAGAAGCTCAACTCCTCTAGCAGAATGCGAATTCGTCGAAGAACACAATGAAACTGAATGGCGCTTCCCAATGAATTGTCAAGCAACATCAAGCTGTTCAGCAGAAGTCGAAAGCTTTGAGAAATCTAGTCCAACTATGGTTACTGGAGAGCCCCAAGCTATACCGCCCACAACTTGGGCAGGCCTTGATGAAGAAGTCCGTCCAAAACGCGCCCGAAAATAGAGTCTCAAAAAAAAAACCTTGAAGAGAGTGAAAATAACAAGCGACAACAAAAAGCCGAAGGAGGAGAAGGGGAAGAGACCTGAGCTAGACCACGCACCTTAAAAGCTTTGGCGGAAGTTCGTTAAGCAGAGCCTACGGCTACAAACGAGAGCGAGGAGAGAACTGAGGTTGATCAAATACTAGCGGGAGACTCAAAAGATTGGTCTCAATAAGAATTATCTTCTATGAGAATGGAAGACCAAATTCAAACACTGTGAGGAGGATGAAAAGACTGGAATCTCTGTTAAGAATCGCAAGGAAAGTGATGCAGCGTGATTTCAATACAGCGCAAGAATTCCGTTCAAGCATATCAGTAAAGATGTCTTGGTGAAAGACTTTGGTCTGCTTAGCTAAGCATCCTTTTAGCCCACCAGGTCATTTGAAGTGGCATTGAATATTCGACGCAGGGTGTGATATTCCAACGGTCTATATGCTTTACAATACAATCAACCAAGTCAATTTTCCAAATTCTTTTTCATCTGAGATCTGAGAGTAACATGTAATTTGGCATTGAAGTTGCTGGTTGAGCACCCTCGGCCGTAGCCAATAATGTACAGTGAAGATCTTACATGATTGGAGTCGCAAGCAAGTGTTATCTACAAGCGGCTGCGCGGCATAAAATAAGGGCGGTGAGTTTAGCGAACAATTTTTTCGATCCTAGCATTCTAGCCTTTTCTTTCTCCCCTCCAACTTGTAAATTAAGCATTCAATAATTAAAAATGGCGTCTCATACTCAAGTCGCTTTACCTCTCCCTGTCCTTCCAGAAGGATGGTCCGCCGAGAAGGATTTCAACGCCGTTGGCAGCGTCTCTGCTGCAACTCAACGAAGCCTTGAGCCTGTTGGTCCTCACTTTCTCGCTCACGCCCGCAGAGCTCGTCACAAGCGTACCTTCTCTGAGGATGACCGTCTCGAAGCCCAGAACAACGTCAAGAAAGTCGAAGATGATGACCTTGGCGAGATCAGCGAAGCTGAAGACCCAATGATGTTGTCCAGAGATGCTAAGGACTGGAAGGTAAATTCAGATATCTGCCAACCCCACTATACTTTTGCTAATACTCATTTAATAGAACCAAGATCACTATGCTGTTCTCGGTCTCAGCAAATACAGATACAAGGCTACAGAAGATCAAATCAAGAAGGCACACAGAAAGAAGGTCTTGAAGCATCACCCTGATAAGAGAGCTGCCACCGGTGCCACCGAAGATGACAACTTCTTCAAGTGCATTCAAAAGGCCACCGATCTCCTCCTCGATCCCGTCAAGCGTCGCCAATTCGATTCCGTTGATGAAGCCGCCGATGTTGCACCACCATCCAAGAAAGACCAAAAGGACCAGAAACTCTTCTACAAGAAGTGGAACTCATGTTTCAAGGCCGAGGGTCGTTTCTCCAAGGTTCAGCCAGTCCCCAAGTTTGGTGATATCAACAGCTCCAAGGAGGAGGTCGAGAATTTCTACAACTTCTTCTACAACTTCGATTCATGGAGATCGTTCGAATACCAAGATGAGGATGTTCCAGATGACAACGAGAACCGTGATCAAAAACGTCATATGGAGCGTAAGAACAACAACGCACGTAAGAAGAAGAAGACCGAGGATTCTGCTCGTCTAAGAAAGTTGTTGGATGATGCTTCCGCTGCTGATGAGCGTATCAAGCGTTTCAGACAAGAAGCAAGCAAGGAGAAGAACAAGAAGAAGTTCGAGAGAGAGGAAGCTGAGGCCAAGGCTAAGGCTGAGAAGGAAGCTCAAAAATTGGCCGCCGAGAAGGAAGCCAAGGAAGCCGAGGAGAAGGCTAAGGCCGACAAGGAGCAAGGAAAGAAGGCCAAGGAAGCCGCTAAGGCAGCTGTCAAGAAGAACAGACGTATCTTGAAGGGCAGTGTCAAGGATGCCAACTACTTTGTCGGAAGTGGAGATGCACCAGCATCTGCTATTGACGGTGTCTTGAACGATGTTGAGTTGGTTCAAGGCAAGATCGATCCTGATGAGTGCGCTGCTTTGGCTGGCAAGCTCAACGGCTTGAAGATCGCCGATGAGATCAAGAGTGTCTGGAGCGAGGAGGTTAAGAGATTGGTTGGTGCTGGTAAGCTCAAGGAGGGTGATGCCAAGAACCTTGCTTAGAGTTTAGAATCTTGTACTTGTACATGATGGGGCGTAGTGGTAGAAATAATTAGATATAGAATGATACTTCATGACCTTTCTAGCAACTTTCGACTTATCTCGTATGCTTGTATGTGCTTCTACATGCTATACATTCTACAGATCTGCATTCAGGGGCGAATCAACCGAGCTAGCTATGTACTTCTCAGAATCTTCATATTATCGTAATCCCAGCTTACACCAATGTTTACACCAATATTTCGAATGAAATTTCTGTGAATCATTCCCTTTCCCCTCCTTTTTTGGTCTACGCTTGGTGCAAAATATACTCCCATCATATCTCTCTTCTAAACCATACTTTCCTCTTCCCGGAATTCCTTCACATTCAGATAGCGGCGTTTACATCATACATAACCTCGCTTACATCATATCATATTGCGTATATCATCATCGGATTTCACATAGGCAGCAAGATTGATGTTTATCAATTTTCAATTAGCAGCTAGATAACTAAAGAACCAAGGAAATAAAGAAAAGTAGCAAGGAAAATAATATGAGATCATGCCTGTCGTCATCTGCCAGCGCAGATCTGGAAATAAGAATGTAAATATGAAACTGTGGATATTCGGCTGTCTGCTGTCTGATATTGCTGTTGAATGCCTGATCCAAAGATCTGGAGATAAACGTAATGTTCTGGGAATAGAAGATATTGATACTGCGATTTGTTGTTCGTAAGGCCGTAAATTCGTAACTTTGTGAGATAACGGATATTTGATAATTGGGTGCTGATAAATGTGTGTGAATGCATAGCGGAGCGAAATGGCAGTTTTCGATCTTCTGATAAGAAGTTGTACTAGCTGGCAAGGAAGCTCGGCTGATGCAGAGCAATGCAAAATAGGGGAGCAGATGGAAAATACGCTGTGGACGCAAGATCGAGGGCTGCGGAATGGGCAAACACTTTAAGGTCCTGGAACGTAATCGCCATCCTTTACATCATCCTCGACATCGCTGATGTCGGAGACAACAAAGGTGTCTTCTTCCATACCCTTCTCTGCCTTAAACTCAGATATGTCGATCTCCTCTTCTTCGGGCTCTTCTTCCTCCTCCACAACTGCTTCTGCAGCCTCTTCACCCCAGGCAGAGTGCAGAGTCGCGAAACTTAAGTTGAGCGCATCCCGCAACTTGACCTTGGATGGACAAACCCCACCAACTCCGCCTGTAAGGGTAGTATCCTTAATGGTATGGTTATCCATCATCATGCTGAACTCTTCCTTGATCTTAGCGGTTGCTGTGTCAGTACTCTTAGAGAATTCGTCCGGAAGCGTGGTACCAAGCTTTTGAAAAGCCCCACGAATTGCTTTGGAGCATTTCTTATACATGGGTCGACCGTTTTTCTGAATGAAATCAACGTGGGTCTCAATGTTGCGCTTGAAGTGACCTTTGCCTTGAAGAGTATCTCCGTGTTAGCGTCGTTCCATGCTGGTGCTAATGAAAACATGTTTAACATACCAAATTCTTCACCACACTTTTCGTAGATGGGTAACCATATTTCTCGGATCTTTGGAACAATAAGCTGATGTGCACCAGTAGCTGTAGATTTGATCTTGGTCTGGAAAATTTCCTCTGCGTTATCCTTCAATGGTTTAGCACCTTTCATGACACTCTGCTTCCAAAGACCCAAAGGCTCAGCAACTTGAGGACAGATGGCTGTAGCTGCGCTCACAACACGATCAACGAATACGTTGATGACAACGCCGACAGAGTGGTTGTACTTTTGATGAAATTCAGGTAAAGTCTTGTGAACTGTTTTGCGCCAGTGCTTGATCATGTAGTCATCGAGGTACAAGGCACCTCTGCTTGAAGTTAGAAGAGTAACATGATCCGAGACTTAGCCACTTACAAATCATCATTCCAATGATGTACTGTACCAGTGTTGCTCTTCCAATCTCCCTGATTGCGATTACAAGCTCGGTGAGTTCCCCATGCCATTGGTCGCTGGGCCCAACCTCTGACGGCGATCTCACCCTTTGCAACAGCTTTCTTCTCTGTTAATGGCATATGCTTAAAGATGCCATTCTCAAAATGCTTCTCAATCTGATCGACTGTGCGCGTATTAAGCTCTTTTAACTTCTGTAAGTCTGAAGTCAGTATCAATCATTGCACTATCAGAGTAGCCACACATGCCTTGCATAGAATATCTACTTGCTCATCAAAAGCGTTTTCGATTTCATCTTTTTGAGCGGCGGGCAGCTTATACTCAACAGTCGTATCAGCGGCCCACAATCGCAACGAAGTTTCTAGACTCTCAATATCCGCTAAGAACGATTCAGCATTTCGGCTACGAGTGCCCAATGTAGCATTGATCAGCCATGCTCGCAAGGCTGGAATTCCAGTGTCCTTCACTGTGAAAAACCCCTGATTCGATCTCTGTCTCATCATAAGGTCGAGAAATGCCATAGAAGAGACACAGAAGACTTGCAAGGGCTTTTCTGCCTTCTTCTCCCCCATTTGCTTCCTGACGGCCTCGAAATCATCTCGTAACGCTGTAGTGGAAACAGCATTTCGGTTTTGAATACACGCTCGCACCTTTTTTGACTCAAGTATCCACTCTTTATCACGGAACTTTGTTAATGTTTGCTGAGCTTTAAGAAGCCAGCTTTCACAATCTTTGATCTTATTTTGAATCTCCTGAGCTTCCTTCTGCATTTCAAAATAATGCTTTTTGTTTTGTTTGTTCTCCGCCGACAATGCAGGCGCAATGGGAGCTATCGAAAACACACACTCCAATTAGCATCGTCCCAACCTTGATTGTGGAATAATGGAACATACCTGGATCGTCACGCTTGCGCTTCAACTTGGCAGTCTTAATATGTGCTTCGAGTTCCTTCATCTGTTTATTGCGTTCAGCCAAGTCTTGCTTATACTCTTTTATGCTCTGTTTATATGTAGCCTCGGAGGCACTAATACATTCAATGCCTTCTTGATTTTTGGTTTCTTTCTCATAAACATCGGTGAGTTGTTTGCTGACTTCCGGATGGGTCCTAATGTATCGGGACACACTAAGAGATGAATCAATCTTGGTAACGATGAAGCATAGATGGTCGCTTGAAAACTGATCCTCTAATTGCAAGTAACGCTTTGTGATAGACCCAAGTAGATCTTGAGCCTTGAGGAAATCATTAGCATATATGTACTCCAGGGAGGGGAAAGGGAAAAGTGACTAACTGGCTTGTCTGAAGCTGCTCTGCTCGTTGGCGAAACAACACAGCTGAGAGTCAAGTTTTTTGTATAAGTTGCAGCAAGGGCCCCACGAGCTGCATTGGTGTCCAGTGAACCTGGAAGATCGACAAGAACGATGCCAGTCTTGAGAACTTCGGCCTTGATTTGGAGGCGAACAAGCTTAACAAGAGGCCATTGGGCGAATTCATAGGTGCCATTATCTTCCTTGGAATTGCTGCTATCAATGTAAGGCTTGATAGAATCGGCAAATTTTAAAAGATCATCGCTCTTGATAGTTTTGCTCTGGCCCAGGATATCTCGGACATTACAATGGTTCATGAGAGTGGCAACAGTTTGACGTTGCAATGCCTCGAGACTTTTGATGGAAGGATAGACACACTTAACTTTGCCGAAAGCAGCTCTGATCCGCTCGTCTCGCTCGAGATCTGGCTCTTCACTATCTCCATCCTTGTTAGATATCTTATCGGCAAGGTCCCGAAAAAGTTTTTCAAGCTCAGACTCCCAGTCCTCCTTATTGATGCGATCAATAATAGCCACATGAGCAGCAGCTGGGTCATTTCTAGGGTTCCATGAAATTTCACAGATGACGGCGGTGCAAGCCTTTTCATCATCGGCAGGTAAAAGATCCTCAAACCCAAGAACGGAGTTGATGAGGGTTGATTTTCCGGCCCCAGTAACTCCGAGGAATCCGATCAGAACTCGGCACTCTTTCTTAGCTGCTCGTATTGCCGCTATGAAAATTGTCAGCGACAACACATTGTACGAGAAGAACCCGAGAAAATCATAGCTTACCAATACGTTCCAGCCACTTGGTGGAACTCCAAACTTCTGGGTGATGCTGAAGAGCAGCTTCTAATTCTCTGAGTGTAGTGAGACCATTTTTAACGGCTTCTTCCTTGATATCAACTTGGGTCAGCCTGTCAAGATTGCCACATCGCTGCCATGTTGGAATGACATGGTTGGGAGCCTCGTCTGCGAATGAGGGAGTAGGTGATGGTGAGGGATTGCGCCTGGGAGAGTCAGCAGTAAATGTAAACGGAGACGCGCTACGTCGAGTGTGATTCTCATCGTCGCCTACGAAGACTGGACTGTCTTTAGGTGAAGGCGATTGCTCGGCCTCAAGCTTGACACGGAAGTCTGCCATCTTGAGGTCTCGAAGATTGTCTCGGTATACGAGCAAAGCAGTGACAAATACTTGGATAGGTTGACCAGGTGTAGCAAAGAGTTTAAAGGGCTGAGCTTTGAGGATAATAAATGGAGGTTGCAGATAATAATTGAAGTTTCGTTGAAGGAGTAGAGGTGCAAGACAAAGTGAGATGAAGAAGCTCACACTAGCGCGCTAGCACTAGCGTCTAAGTTCAAATGCAAAAGAGTGAATTTGAACAATCAAAGGTGAGAGTGATACCATGAAGCAATGGCGATCGATCTGAGATGCTGGTGTGAAGCGAAAGATCGATAGCACTAAGCTTGGCTTTCTGGAAAGAAAGCAAAGAGGAGCTATTGTGGAGCTCAATGAAGTTCTGATATAGCAAAAGGTAGATGATTGAGAATTGAAGGAGAATGTACAAAGTTGGAGGAGACAAGTGTTGATTAAGAAGTTTGCAAGGAGATGGATAAAGGGGAAACTTCTCCGCACGTGGGCTGAGTCGAAAATGTTGGCGAAGTGAATTCTAATTCATCCCATTATAGTAATCCTAGATTGATAGAGAAACTTGATGATGATGTTGCAGCACTTTTGGAAATCTTGTCCAACCATGAGCTGCCCATTGCAAGAGGATTTCTTTCTCGTCATGATACCAAATTACGCCTCACGTAATTGAAATAAGATACAGAGCAAACAAAGACACCATGGGTATTGGAAGAAGTGCAGTTTGATTCTCAACACTATATACATGTATTTTCCTAATAGCGCCTCACCTCCGCTGAAATACGATGCCACATGAATAACTCATGGGCCGTAGTGTGCGTAAATTTGTCTTTTACGTAGATGCACAGGGGTTTCGCCTGCGGGGGTATCTGGAATAACCTTCTCGATTTTCTATGCACGACCCATATGATTAGTCGCTGCTCTTCATCGTAAATTATGTGAAATGACATACCAGATTGTCAAAGACACATTTGTTAAGCTTCCACTCCTGTGGTCGACATTGCCATAGTTGCTGGTTGTTGTTATCGAGGCATTTCCTACAACATTATTAGATATGACTAATTCCATCACATCCGGAGTTCGTAGAGTGTAACTTACCAGTGTTTCCTGAACTCCTCAAGGCAGTGTTTGTTCACATCTTCAATTCTATGATTGGCGATTAGCCTAGAGTTCTACTGGTAAAATCAAAGTATCCAGCCAGGGTTTGCTCCAAATCACAAATCCCTTCATCGATGTTTGAAGTTCCACATCTGCAACCTCTTAAGGAGTAGCACTTACACGCTCCTCGCACACCTGGTAACTCTTCGGCCTTCTTTCAAACAATCAATCTCTCCCTTTCCAGGATTGTCATTCTTGCATTGCATGAAATCGTCATTGTAGGGTCTGCATCTTGCGCCGATAAAGAAACTCGCGGACAATAATGGCGCCGAACTGCTACCAATCTCTGTGACGGGCGGAATATCCGCAGGTAATGGGGTAGTGTCAATCAAGACTTGCTGATTGAATCTGTGATCGCGGTTAGCATTAGGTAGAAGTATGGTAATCTGCAAGCTTAGAAACATACCTGGGTTGACGGGCAGCCATTTTGAAATATGTTGTGAGGAGATACTGGGTTCGCAAAGCCCGTAATTGAGTGTTTTGGAGGTTCAATGCAGTATGAAGCTTTAAGGTCAAGTCAAAAACGCGGAAGTTGATTGGCTCATCAGCCGACCTCTCAGCAGTCGCGACCGATCAAAAGAGCTTCGTCCCGACAACGAATTTATGTTCCAGCAAAATAAGAATTCAATTCACTCTCTATACCTTTCACCCTGTGAAAAAAAATTGTATCAGCTTCAACATTGAACAGTATCTCGCCAATCAATTTCTATTGTTCATGTTTTAGCTTAGAAAAACTAAATTGCCGCGACGTATATCCGATAAAATATTACAATCCCAATAATATATTATCAAGCGCGTTCGCAAGGTCAACATTTCTTTAAATAGCTGCAATTATCCATTGTACCACAATCTCCTCGAGGCTACTTGCATCTTCCTTCAGTGATTCTATTTCGGCACTTCTATAATCCCGGACGCATAGAAGAACAGCTATGTTTGGAAGTACTTTCGGTCAAAGCCAGCCAGCTGGCGGAGGTTTATTCGGATCAACAAATACCGCACAACCTTCAGGTGGTTTATTTGGATCTACAAATACCGCGCAAAAGCCAGGAGGATTATTTGGCTCGACTACAACTACAGGAGCTCAAAATCAGGGAGGAGGGCTCTTCGGCGGCGCAGGGCAAAATACTCAACAAAATCAACAACAGACTGGCGGACTTTTCGGTGGAGGACTAGGAACAAGCACTCAACAGAATCAGCCTCAAGCGGGAGGATTATTTGGAGCAAATGCACAACAGCCACAGCAGCAACAACCGGGAGGTTTATTCTCTGGACAGACTATGGGAGCGCAGCAGCAAGCGGCCCAGCAGCAGCAAAACACAATCCTGGGAGGATCACAGCAACAGACTGGTTTATTTGGACAGACGCAATCGTCGCAAGCTCTGGGCCAGTCACAAGGACAATTTGGAAATTCTTTGTTTACAAATACAAGTGGACTGAAACCTCGTACGTACCTATCGAGACTCATTCAAAGCGCGAACTAATTTTGATGCAGGAGAAAAGAGTGTGATAGACCAGATTGAAACAGTTGTGGGTAAATGGGATACAGGAAGCAAGGACTGTGCCTTCCAATATTTCTTCTATAATAATGTTGGTGTGGACGAAGCACCATTCTATCAACCACAACCCAACGAAGACCCAAGAGCTTGGGAAGAAGCCCTTTCGAAAAAGCCAGGACCTGGATATATTCCAGTCGCATGTATCGGTTTCCAAATGATGGGCGACAGGATCAAAGCCCAGCAAAACCATCTTGCAGCATTCAATATTCGGTTACATAATATCAATGCTAGCTTGTCGAACCTACTTCAAAATCACGACACGAGGACGAGTATACGGGCAATGGATGCGAGGAGGAAACATGTGGTCTTGAAACAACGATGCATAGCATTGGCGACTAAAGTGCAGGTCCTGAGAAACAGAGGCTATGCTCTTAGTGGAGACGAGGAGGACCTGAAAGCTAAACTTATTAAGATAGAAAAGGGGGCTAGCGATCCAGCACTGGGTGCCAGAGCAGAAGAGATCTGGGCTCGAATGATCAACGTTCAAGAGCGAGGTCGGTTATTGAGGACGGAACTGGAGAAGGTTGGGCAAGAAAATGGAGAGATTTTGGACGACACCATGACCGCGCGATGCAAGAAGGTAATTGTCACAGTTTCTACCGAAGTAATGATACGATGCTGACTCACAAACTAGATTCTCGAAGACTATCAAACTCAATTAGCACATTTAAAAAAGGAGTTGGATAGGGTACACAAGGATTATGTCGAATGGGAAAAAGAGCAGCCACCACAAATGGCAGCGAGGACAAGATTTGGCCGATGATTGATGCGAAATACCCATGGTTAGTTTGATCGGAAGTGCTTTAGACTTCATGGAGTTGGTTGGGATGTAAAAAAAGGATAGACATTGTATATTATGGAAGCTTAATTACAAACTAATAGTAGTAATTTCTCTTTCACCCCAAATTGATCGCAAATAACTGCCTATAATGTACTGATTTTGAAAGATAAGCTTATGCACATGTCATAATTACGCCCTTATCATTTCTCTCAATGGGGCCAAGTGACTCATACCTAGCCTAAGATCAACCTCCTATAAAGATAAGAGACTCATTTGATGCCGAAATTCAAAAAGTCTTCATCTATACTATCAAGCGACCAATTGATTTTCGCAAACTTTTCGTTCAAAATGACACCACCTCCAATCCCACCCGTCTCCCTCTACCCCGCCGACTTCGAAACCTCCTTCCCGACCGTCTCCCCAAATTCCCCTCCCTTCCCCTCTCTAAACCCTCTTTCCCATACCACAAATCGCATTTCCCTCGTTCCGCTCTCTGCAGACCACATCCCGGACCTCTGGAAACACGTCGGCGGAGCGGAAAAATATGTACTCTACAAATATATGCCCGGCGGACCCTTTAATACCATTGAAGACTTCACAGCATATCTCACGTGGCTCATTAATTACTCTGAATCTAGCTTCGTTAATTGGGCAATCATTTTACCAAGTGGAGAAGCAGTGGGAATCATAAGTCTGTTGAATATTGTACCAGATCAGAGGAGAATTGAGGTTGGACATGTGTTGTTCTCGAAGGTACTGCAGAGGACCACAGAGGCGACGGAAGCTTGTTTTCTTTTGATGGATTATTGTTTTAAGTTGGGGTATGAGAGGGTGGAGTGGAAATGTAATGCGGAGAATAAGGGAAGTAAGAGGGCGGCGGAGAGATTGGGGTTTGTAGCGGAGGGGCTTTTCAGGAGACATATGGTCGTGAGGGGACGGAGGAGGGATAGTTGGTATGCGAGCGTTATTTTGGATGAGTGGGAGAGGGTCAGGGGGGCGCTAGTGGAGTGGTTGGAGCTGGAGAATTTTGATGAGAAGGGGGGGCAGAAAAGGAAAGTGGAGGAGATCAGGGAGGAATTGCTGAGGAAGTTTGACTAGAAAGTCTATGGAGCGGGCGAGACTGGTACTGGTGCTGGTGGGAGAAGGGGAGAAGAGGTCGAGAACTTCTGTTGCATATAGACTTGATTTGATAGATGCATAGAAACATGATCTTGTATGACGAATGTAGCAGCAGTGTTCCGGATATTACAAAAAGCGTTCTTGTTCATATTTAACTTCGTTTTGAAAGCCTCTCTATCTTTGGCTGCGATGCCTTGAAGAGCAGAGTTACGCTGCTAGAGCTCTTTATAGAGTATATGTATGATCCCCTCTCGATCCTCGCGATTTTTACTCTCTAGCACGAAAGAGATATAAGTGACAATGCCAGCAATTTATATATGCAGCGCTTGTACATTATATCCATGCATATTCCCATTCTATTGTACACCTCCTCGATCTTCTCA